AGTGCCAAAGAATTGATGCTTTTGAACTGTAGTGTTGGAAAAGACTCTTGAGAGTCCCTTGGACTGCAAGGAGATCCAACTAGTCCATCCTAAAGGAGATCATTCCTGGGTGTTCATTGGAAGGACTGATGCTAAAGCTGAAACTCCAATACTTTGGCCACCTGATGCTAAGAGCTAACTCACTGGGAAAAGACCCTGATGCTGGGAGGGATTGGGGGCAGGAGGAGAAGGGGAAAACAGAGGACGAGATGGCTGGATGGCATCAAGATGGGCATGAGTTTGAGTAAAGTCCGGGAGTTGGTGATGGACAGGGAGGCCTGGTGTGCTGCGATTTGTGGGGCCGCAGAGTCGGACACGACTGAGTGACTGAACTGAACTGAACTGAACTGGAGAACCTCACAGGAAAGGGCCTGCTTTAACAGTTACTGGCTGAAAGATCCCTTGAGGTGTGTGGCCTCAGGGTGAACCCAACGATTGGATTTGGCCGATTACAGTCCTCAAGCAGCCTGGGAGGGAAAGTTCCATGATCGTCGCATTCCACCCCTGGTGCCCTACACTTCCCTCCACAAATTTGATGAGCAGCTCCTCTACAGTTTCCATGGATCTCTTTTTAGAGGGAAAAACTCAGAAGAGAGAGGTCAGTGATATGAACTAACGTCCATTACTGCTGGTGACCTCAGGGCTATGAGTGGTACCCTCTTTACTCCATTTTGGATTTCCTTTACCCTCAGCTAGCACCTCAGAATTCTTGGTGGCTTACCTGGAGATATGCCCCAAGCCTTCATTCCTGGGGTGGTGGTGGAGGTGGGCATCGTAACCTTCTCAACCTGCTGTGGTACTGTTGCACATGTCTGCCAACAGTTAGAGGGAACAGAGCAGCACCAGAGGCAACCCAGTGGACCACCTGGCTCTTCCCCTTTGCTCCCATTATATACAAGCAGCTCTATTCTCCTGTCGATCAGGGTTTGTTACCACTGCCGGTGTGGCGATTCCTCTTCTCATGTACTGGTCCCTGGGCACAAAGTCCCAAAACAAAGTCCCAGAGTGCTCTGGTAGCAGCCCTAATTTGTAGTTCTGTGGGACCCTTTGTGTCCTCTGGCAAAGTGCACCCCTGTAGGAATCCAAGACCTTCAACCATGTGGAGCCCAGGCTGCTGGGATGGGAAGTATAAAAACCACCCAGGTCACTGGGAATGACAGTAAGTGAAGCCACTCCTGTTTCCCCGTGTGGTTCCTAGACCCATGTATTCTTCCTACTGGGGAAATAGCACCAACAGAGGTCTCTTACTTAACACCACATCCTGAAGAATGACACCCTGTTCTTTCCAAGTGTTGCTTCTTAGCCAGTGCTTCATTATCAGTATTCTGTTAGCTGGCTGTTTCTGGATGGTACAGTATTATATGACAAGACCAACAGACCCCCATGGTCATGGATCCATTTCTGCAATGCCTTCACTGGACAGTAGGTCCCCTGGGTCAGATGCTATACTATGCAGTAATCTGTGCCTCAATCTGGCATTCGGCCAACAGAGGCTCTCAGAGTAAGGAAGTTAAATTCACACCCACAGTAGGTATCTATTCCCATAAGGAAGAACTGCTGGCCTTTTCAAGAGGAAGGGGCCCATTGTAGCTGACTTGCCACAAAGCAGCTGCTCGATCTTCTCTAGGAATAGGGCATATCAGAGACTCAGTGTTGGTCTCTGTTGCTGACAGGTTGGACGTTCAGAGGCACCCTTGGTGAGTGGCAGTCCACTCTCTAAGACAGAAGTCGGTCCTATATGTAGCCTCTGTCTCTGCCACTAGGACCACTCCATTCATGGGCCCCGCTTATTAGGTCTGTAGCGGCTAACGCTGGCTGTCAACTGGTTGTCACTGAACTACTTGGTTGTTCAGTGCTTCTTCCATGGTGGAGGCTTTCTGGTGGGCATTGTTTTGTAATAAAAAAAATTTTCACACATTGTGCCTTCTCCATATAGCCCAACCACATGCCGTTATCCCAGAACAGTCTGTTGGACCCTGCCCAGGCAATCTGTTTATATTCTCACCTTAAGCCACTTCTTCCACACAAAGTGGAAAGATCAGGGCACAGCTTGAAGCTCTACTCACTGGAATATTTGTCACTCTCCACCATCTTTCAGAGTCCTTCTTGCATCCTTTAGATTTTAATAGTGACACTAATCACCATCCTCCAACCTCCATCCCTCAATAAGACCTTGTTTGTTTGTTTTTTTTGGTTATGCCTTGTGGCTTGGAGGATCTTAGTTCCTTGACCAGGGATTGAATCTAGACCATGGCACTGAAAGTGCCAGTCAGTGGCTGGAGAGCAGTTACCAAGGTTTACATTTGGCCTTTCCTGCCATAACTCTTACCCCACAAGCCAGAAACGTGTTGCTAGATTGTTTTCACAGTAACTTCCTGTTTCTAGATTATTCTAGATCCTTTCCAGTTACATATTTGGGGGCTGGGGAATGACCACTGGATGGGTTCACACTAGTAGGGCCATTGTGAGCCATAATCTGGCCAGGACTCTTATTTATAGTACAGGGTCCCCACGGGCCAGGGACCTATGTTGATAATTTTGGTCTGATACCAAAGACAACTCGATCAAATATCCAAAAAGTCTTCAAATATATGGTTATTTCTCTTGTCAGTGTATAGTCACAGGTAAATGGCCATGAGTCTCTGGGGAAAAGACTGAAGGAATCATACACTTGGGTGGTGTCATAGCGTCTATTCCTAGGTTCACAGGTACTTGTTCATCAATGGGTTCTGAATCTGAAAACTGGCTCAGGTCTAAAAACTGAGCAAAGGAACATGTGCTGTGTGGATGACCAACTTTAGCCTTCTGTTTCTCCTTTCCTGTGGACTTTTTGTTTATAGATGTTTAAAAGCACCCTCTTTGGCTGTGTCTATTCTGCTCCCGGGGATGCTATCTTTTATTGGCTCTCTCTCCCCGGTCTCCTGATGGTCATTTGGTCAGTTCTTCAGTCTTGCTGGTAATAATGGTAACTGTGGTCTCCTGGCTTCTGAAAGTAAAGCAATGCCACTTGGTCTTTATTATTCTTGGGCCTCAATCATCCCCATCTTCCCACATTTCCTGGAACACTCCTGGCATTACCTATGTTATCTAGGTCTACCAGGAAGCAGAAAACCAAAGAGGATTAAGCATCAACAAAAAAACCAAACAACCCAATTTAAAAGTGAGTAAGGGACTTGAATAAACATTTCTCTAAAGAAGATATACAAACAGCCAGTAAGGACATGAAAAGATGCTCGACATCACTAATCACCAGGGAAATACAAATCAAAACTACAATGAGATACCACCTCACACCATTCAGATGGCTACTGTCAAACAAACAAAAACCCCAAAACAAAAAACGGAAAATAAAAAGAGTTGGAAAGGATGTGGAGAAATTGAAACTCTTATGTATTGTTTGGCAGGAATGTAAAATGGTACAGCTGCTGTGGAGAAACAATATAGCAGTTCCTCAAATTAAGAACCGAACTGCCATATGATTCAACAATTCCACTTCTGAGTATATACCCAAAGAACTGAAAGCAGCGTCTCAAGAGATTTTGTACACCCATGTTCACAGTAACGTTATTTACAATAGCTAAAATGTGGAAGCACCCCACCTGTCCACTGACAGATGAATGGATAAGCAAAATGTGGTATACATGTATACAATGGAGTACCGTTGTCTTAAAAAGAAAGGAAATTCTGACACATGCTACAACATGGATGAACCTGGAAGACATTAGGTGAAGTCAAATAAGCCTGTCACAAAAAGACAAATACTGTATGATTCCACTTAGATGAGGCCATTAGAGCAGTCAAATACCCAGGTATCACCCTGTGTGGTGATTCCAGCCTCAGCACCCAGAAACCCAAGACAAATGAGGGCATTTGGAAGAATGTAAAATGTCACAAGTACATGACTGTCTGCTTTAATTGTGAATGCTAAGTATAGAATATGTAAAGTAAGTATAGGATATGTAAAATTTAATCAAACGCCACCTACATGTTTTCTCTCGAACTTGATTTTTAACCTATTTCTTCTCCTATAAATTGGAATAACAATATGTACTCCACAACATTGTTTAAAAATGAATGTATTAGAAAGGGGCTGTGTAAACTACAAAGGGATAAACAAACAAGAGATTGTTACCAACAAACAAACTGATTAAAGGACAAGGACACACAAATGCTTATTTTTATAAATTTCACTTACAGTCAACCACTGAGATGGGAAACCAAGGAAAGAATACTATGGAAGACAAACAGTGGTGTTAGGTTTCTTAGTAATTTGGGGTTTACTTCTTTACCAGGCACTTTTTACCTTTTTTTTTAATTGGAGCACATGGCTCCATGACAATATTAAACTTATGGATTTAGTCCTCCTGCGATCTAGTGTACTCTGTTTGCTGTTCAGCTGGAAAACATTTTCAGCCTTTCCAGTCTAATCCCAGAACACCATGATTTACAGCAAAAGGAATTCCTGAACTGAACAAAGAAATTGAGGCAAGTGGCCAGAGCTGTGCTGAGCAGAAACCCAGGAGTCCACACGTGCCCAGTGCCGCTGCCACTACCAGGAGCACTGCCAAAGACTAGGAGAAAGAGAAGAGGAAGTCCTCTCCTCCCCACACAGAAGCGTCTTCTGGACTTAGAGACTAATAGGAAGCCAGCAAGCAAATGTAGTTTACAGGATTTAGACCCTTGAATCTGAGAGTAAACAGACAAGTGACCAGTGCTGGGGACTTAAGAGGCAACAGTAAAAGAGAATTACCAACTACTGCCTCAACTTACTTCATTAATTTAAATAAGATGTTTACTTTCGATCCAAGGGCCATCCTGTGTAATTCTGACCCAGTACTACATGAAATGAAGAAATCTACAAGGCAGTCTGGGATTAGACCCCTTTTCCAAAAGGCACACAGGTTCCTGCCTCTAGCATTCAAAGAGACAAAAGACATCAGGAGCTGAAACATATGGTAAATGCTTTATTTTCATATTTTATGTTAAAACATAAAACACAAACATTAGAACATAGGACATGAATAGAGATCCCACTGTCTGGTTTTCAAAGCAGGTACAAGGATACAGATAACAAGAAAATATTTTTGAGTCTGTTTAATTCCAAACCCTCAAATGGGAAAACAATCTCAGAGACTGGGTGAGGGAAGATGGTGGGGCAGAGCCTGCATCTATAGATGTCATCTCCGCTGCCAGGCGGAGGGGAGCAGGGGTGAGGGGAAGTTCTTCCATTGGAGACATCAGTCACAGTCACAAAAATTTTTGTTTCTCAAACATCTAAACTTACTAGGGGAATGCAAGGACTGGTAAGGCATGAGATTCTTCCAACTTCTCTAATAATACAAGTCCCTTGGTTCCTACGCTTGGGGGTGGGGATGGATCTCAATCAGCATCAGCTAAGTGTACTTCAACTTTAGCCAAATCCTAACCCTGTGCCACATTCTGCCCTAGCAAAAGACAATGGGAGCCAGGGCCTGACCACTTGTTTCCTCTCTCTTATCATCTGCTGAAACCAGATTGTTTTTTAATTCAAATCCTTTTCTGCCCCTGATGCTCCAGGCCTGGGCAGTTAATCTTAATCATCAACGTATCAAAAGGTTATACCTCTTCTAGAAAGGGGAGGTCTTTCCCAGGTTCTGGAAACTGGCTTTTTGAAAGATGTCCTTAAATAGAAGGAGGCCATTCTTTAAAAAACACAACTAGAACATGGAACTCTAGGGAAATCTACTGCAATAAGCCCCTGCTGGTGAGAAATGCTGGCAACAGCTCAGGAGTTGACAGATCAGAACTGTTTTAAAATAAAAATAATGATAACATTTCTACAACAATTATTTAAGAAAATCACAGTTAGTCATCCTGCTCCCAAGAACAGGGAGCACGCCTTGAGACACGTTCTGTGGTGGACAGTAGTTTAGTAGAGTAGCCTTTTGCAAAGCAAACAGATATAAACTGAACCCTCTACTGGAGAAAAATACAGCTCCAAAAGTGGGACAATCCAGGGTTGGAATGAAAGCTGGTGGGCATCTCCCTGCAATCCACGCAGGCCTCCAACCACTGTTATCTTCCTGAGAAAAACTATTTTACTAAAAACATTTTCTTAAAAAAAGTTAGGGAAGGAGGCAAATCAGAGGAATTTGGAATCAAACATCAGATTCACCTGGTGGCAGGTTTCAACCTGGGAATTCTAAACAGGCTCAAGAATAGCTCCTTACTCCAAGGGGTGGACTTTATTCAGAGAGAAACTCTTTAAAAATGCGAGACAAGTCCTCTTCTGCTTTCAACAGCAGTCTAAGCAGCTTCTCTTTTGTAAGCCTCTCTTGGTGAGCCCCTTGCTCCTGATCTCTCATACTAGTAAGAGCTTTGACATATGGCTCATCTTTTCCTAGTGAGCACAAAGAGTGGCTTTCAAAGCACTGGCTAATATAAAACCAATCCTGAGATCTTAGCTGGCTAGAAAAAAAGTGAGTCTTCCCCACTGCTCAAACAACTGGTCTCTCTCCTTGATTCGCAGTGTGATGAACCCCATACGCTGGCATCAGCTGCGCCATCACTGGGTTGACCGCTGCTCTGGCACCGCTTACCTGAACAAGGCTGCTCCCGCTACAGAGCAGACCAGATGAGCTCTGCCAGACAGCTCTGTGGGGCTGAGACCAAGTTACCGAAAGATTACCAGCCTACACGGTCAGAAACAGGTCAAATCCTTCAGAAGACTGTAGAGTGCCCTCTTGTGCTCAACTGAAGACTTCTGCATCCACGCTGCATCCAAGGAGCATCAAAATGGTTAGTCCCATCAGGAACATAAGCATTCCCAAGTCATGCAGTCAAGTGACAAGACAACTTGGGTGGGATGTCACGTCCGGAGATGCTCAGTGTACATTCATATCCTAAGTGACTGCAGGGAGGATACTCTCTCCAAGGCCCAGTAGAAAGTCTGGTCAAACATAATGATTCTCAACAAAGATTCATGAAGGCTTTTAACCCAAGAAATGGATAATGTTGATGGAGTACCCGTCACTTACTCTTTTGATGGACCTTGAAGATACACCATCTATAGTGTTTTGTTGACCTCGAATCCCAGGATCATATTAACCTAATGGAACCACGATCCCACAAGTTCTAGGCCACAGACAATAAGCACAGATCTTGCTCAAGGCTGTGAGGTACTAGCAAATAACATGTAGCATTAACCAGCAACATGATTGATAAGTTTCAAGACCATGGTCACTCCCACCTATAGACGTGGACTGTCTTTTCTGTTAAGGTAGCCAAGTAGCTGTTATGATTCACCTCAAATGGGCAGATGTCCAAGACAGGCTGATCGGCCTGCAGATCCTGAAGCAATGAGCCACTGGCAGCATCCCACAGCTAAAAAAGAAGAGATAAAGGTCATGAGTCCTTCAATTCAACTTGGGACTTGCAGTCTTTATCATCACACAACTCTGAAAGCACTGCAGAGACAGCACTGCCCAAGGAGTAAAACAGAATGTCCCTAACCTTCACAAGGTTGCACAAAAGCAGCACATCTGACATAAGTCACGCACGGCCTCACCTACTATAATTCGCAAATACGGTCTACCTGTGAGTGGATCTGAAAACCAAGCCTAGTATTCTCCCCTTCAGTCTATGTGCCAAGAACTCTCTTAGGGGAAACAAGGATCAACAAGACAATAAGTCCCTATCTCTGCCCTCATGGAACCTGTATTCTAACTGCTGCTTTCTTCTCCTTTAAAAAAATTTTTTATTATGGACAAAAAATTCATGTAATAAAAAGTAGAATAGTACTATGAGTCATCACCCAGATGACTAAGTTTTTACCATACCTGCTTTATTGTTTTTTTCTGTGCTGACATCATGTCATTTTACCCTTATACACTTAAGTATACATTTCTTAAAAACAAACATTTTCCTACATCTCAATGTCACTATGCCTAACAAAATGAACAGTAATTTCATAATATTCTCTAACATATAGTGCAAAATAAAAATTTTCTGATAGTCTCTTTTTATATTGGTTTTGTTTGATTCAGGATTCAAATAAGGTCCACATTACCCTTGGTAGTCATAAATTTTAATAAGCCTCTCTTAATTTGAGCAGATCCAACTTCCCCACTCTTTTCTCCTTCTGCCACTGACTTGAGGAAGCAGGATCTGTTGTCCTACAGAACGTCCACAACCTAGATGTTTGTTGCTTTCTGTGCTATTACTTAACTTATTCTCTTATCCACTGCAATTCCAGTAAATAAAAGCACTAGACTGAAGAGTGACACTATCCAATATGGCTGCCATTAGCCACATACACCTCTTTACATTTAAATTACATAAAAATTTAAGAATTAAGTTTTTCATTCACATTAACATTTCAAGTGATCACGTGGCTAATGTGACTTAACTGGACAGTGCTATTCTATGGGTTCAAGGACACCTAGGCATCATGTACTTCATTTTGCCTTACACCAAGAGGCAAATTATTTCTGCTTAAGCCACTAACAGTGACACAATAGTTGATCATAGGTGGTAACAGGCTGACTCCTCCACTGTAAAATTCCCCATCAACCTTTCATCTGTTACTGTCATCTTGAATTGATCAACTATTTTATAGAGGTTTCAGTAGTGCCTTTTTCCCCCTAAAACATATAGCTATATGTCTATCATCACAAAACTTTGAAAGCACTGCAGAGAAAGCACCCCCTGGGGGGTAAAACTGCCTGTCCCTAACCTTCACAAGGTCGCACAAAGGCAGGATATCTGACATAGGTCACGTAAAACACTACAGCTCACATATAAAGAATGATGTCAATCTATAGATATTGGTATGGAAAGATAACCAAAACAGGAAGTTAAATGGGAAAGCAGTATGTACTGGGTTGGCCAAAAAGTTCCTTATGTTTTTTTTTTCCCCTTATGTTTTTAAGTAAAAATAAAAGACCATTTTCATCAAGAACTTTCTCAAAAGTTTTGTTATACTACCTTCTGCCATTTTTCAGGCAACTTCATAACTTTATCTTCCAAGAACTTTTTATCTTTTTGAGCAAAGTACTATTCTAAGTGCTTTTTACAGTCTTCCACAGAATTGAAACTTCTTCCATTAAGAGAATTTTGTAAAGACTAAAATAAATAAATGGAAATACAAAGGTGCGATGTCTGGTGAATAGAGCGGATGAATAAGAACTTCCCAGCCAAGCTGTTAACAATTTTTGCCTGGTCATCAAAGAAACACACAGTCTTGGATTATCCTGATGGAAGAGTATGTGTTTTCCGTTAATTCTGGACACTTTTCATTGAGTGTTGATTTCAGTTGGTCTAATTGCGAGCAGTACTTGTTGGAATTAATCGTTTGGTTTTTTGGAAGGAGCTCATAATAGAGGACTCCTTTCCAATCCCACCACATATACAATATCATCTTCTTTGGATGGAGATAGCCTTTGTTGTGGTTGATGGTGGTTCATTTTGCTTGCCCCAGGATCTCTTCCATTCCACATTATTGTACAGTATCCACTTTTTACTGCCCATCACAATTTGTATTAAAAAAGAGAACATTTTCATTACATTTCAGTAGAGAATCACATGCAGAAATACAGTCAAGGTGTTTTTAACTTACGTGGAACTCAGACACCAAAGTGATTAACATAATCAGGCTGATATAAATGATCTTCCACACTTGATTTGGATATTTTGAGTATGCTGGCTATCTCCTGCATGGTATAATGTTAACTGTTCTCATTTAATGTCTCGATTTGATTGCTAACAACTTCAACTGACCTACCCGACTGTGGAGCATCGCCCAGTGAGAAATCTCTAGCACAAAACTTCGAAAATACTTTCGACATGTTCAGTCACAGCACTTTTTCCATATACTGCACAAATCTGTTTCTGCATTTCAGCAAAGTTTTTACCTTTCTTGAAATAATAAAGCATAATATGCTGAAAACATTGCTTTTTTCCCTTCCACTGTCAATATTAAAATGGCTACACAAAAATTCACCAATTTTGACAGGTCTTATTTTTAATACACACTGATATGATAGCTGTCACAATACAATCTAACAAAATTGTTTCAAATGGAGTTAAAGACAACTATGTGCTACTAGAGCCACCAACAGAAAAAAACAAACTTTTTGGCCAACCCAATAAAGTGTGACTTCTATAAGAAATAAACTAAGCAACCACACATATACACATATGAAGGTACGTGCAATTATGGAGAACTTTGGTTTTTTGCTTTATACACATCAGTATAAAAAACTGACTGACTACTCACCAGGGCCGATTTTGATGCTTCATCCCCAGTACACACCAGGATGCTGCCATTATTCTCTGGATTTTGGAAAATGGCACTCTTGGTTAGCAATTTGCAGGAAGGTCCCCCAAGGAATGTTTGTACAGGATGGCAGGAACAGATGGGCTCTCCAGCATTATCCAGTTTATAGGACATCTCCATGAGCACACTTCGTAAGGTGTTGTGATTTTTATCTAAGAGAAAGAGAAATCAGTATTGATCTGTAGGGATGGTCCAAAGAAATTAAGCAAATACCTAAACTTGGCTGTAACTCAGTTGAGTAGAAAACGCAGTTTTATCAAGCCATCATGAATAGCTACCAAACACAGTAAGAACAAAATGATATAGCACAAATCAAATTCAGAACTCTGGGCTATAGGATGAAGTAACTTATCTACAATAGGTTTTGTCTATGAGGGAAACAATTCTGAGAACGAGCTAGCCTTTTTAGGAAAATCACTGTATCCAGCTGGATTTCTGTTTGGGTTTTTATCTTCCTTAAGGGTTCGGGCTACAAGGTCTTTCTCTCCCCCCAGTGAGGACCTCACTAATACCCAGAACTGTACAAATACAGCGAAAGCATATTATCACAGAAGGGGAAACGTATCACTGTGGTTCTGCTGAGAGACAAACAAAAGCTAGAGAACAGAATGGGATCTCCAAGCTTTCTACATATCATAGCAAATCCATGGAGATAGACGACCTAGGAGATGGGTCCAAAAGGGAAAGGAGAGTCTGCTGACACAGCTTCTCAGCTCAAACAAAACTTAAAATGATTAGGTCAACCCACAACTAGCAGAAGTATGGGCACTTTAATGACTATTTCTGACCAAAACATCTACTTGACCATCAATATAGCTCACCAGATTAGATTCATTATCTTTCGGCTAGAAAAAAAACCTGTGTATTTAAGCATAGTTGGTCAAGGGTTGCAGTCCTGGGTCTGGAAGCTGTGAGAAGTTCAGCTGGCTAGGACCACCATGGTTGTCCATCTACTCCCCCACTTAACTTTGGGGCCCCAAATAAGGAAGAACAGCTAACAGCTTAGCGTCTGGGCCCTCTACATGACTGCTTTCATCTGGGCCTTCCTTGTAAGTGAAGTGAGTGGCAAGCAGAAGACATGAAACTGATGTAAGGGTAAGCTCAGAGGCTGGAAGAGCAGGTCTCCTAATTCCATCACTGTCGTAAGTCAGAGAGGATCCTAAAGCAGCTAATTCCACTTCCAAGGAGTACCTGGCCAAGTACGTCCCAGTTCACACAAGCGAGGGACAGGGGGGCAGGCTCCACAGCAAGAGCTGTGGGTCCGTGAGGGGCTGACCGGCACCACCTGAAAGCTAAGGCAAGCTCTCCTTTCCTCCCCTCTACCAACCTGCTTCCAAACCAGCCAAGCCATGAGGACACCCCAACGACACTCACCAGGCCTGTAGGTCACAAGACAGTGGCAGGTGCTGCTCTCTACCTGGAAGTCTACACAGCCCCCAGGCTCCACGGGCAGCACATGAGGCCAATGAGTAAAGCCCATTTTCAGCTCCCAAAAAGAGGCATTCTCCAACGTTCCAGCCAACACTCCACCATATGGAAATGCAGCAGAGGCAGCTCTGGGTACATATGACAGGGATACCAGCGGGCATCTGAAGGGAGAGGAAGGAAACAAAGTCTCACCTGCCAATATTTGAACTACTTCAGGCCCCACTATGAGGAGTCAAGGACATTACTACCTCTATAGAAGAAATTTTTGTGAGTCACTGTCCTCTGATATCTGATAAAAACTACCAACCCACTCTGTAGGAACAAAAGGGCATATATATAATATTCCACACCCAGATTCAGAGGAGATTCTGCATGCTCTAAAATCAGTGTGGAAAAAACGGAGTAGGGAATTTAACAGTATAAGATTACAAACACAAGGTAGCCTGACTGGTGTGAAGCTTCTGGAAATGGGGTTAGACACACACACACAAGAAAAGTCAGGAAGGAAATTCAGCTCATAAATGGTAGAGCTGGGTTCTGAACAAAGTAGTGATTTTATTTTGGCACACTGTGACATGTAATTCTATTAATCTGGTTATACTTGGTACAAGGACTTTCTGCCATGCCAACTATCATGAACACAAACTCTAGGATCTTACTGATTCTGAAGTGAGAACAGATCAGAGGACTCAGAGGTCTGCCCTCTGTGAGAAATTCTGATCAACTGTGAAACACTAGTAAAAGAGAGGATTAATATAATAGTCCAAGAGAAAGCTGTTACTTTCAGGTGGCTCCCTACCTAGCTCTCTGAGGTACTAACTCCTGGACGTGAGAGCTTGTATTTCGAAGGTCATACAACAGAAGTGAACCATTGACCAGTCCAGCATAGACGTAATTGTTTTCATCGAGACACCAGCAGCAGCTCCAGACAGGCCGCCCAGCATTGTAAGTCTGGACCACGGTATTTGTTTCCAGGCTGTAGAGTTACAAAAGACTTTTACAATTATGCATTACAAAAATCAAATACAGACAAAGATGTAAAGATAAGAACACACCCACACACCAAAACTATATGGATTCCCAATTTGCCCTCAGGTCTGCAGACAGAACTCTTAATTCCACAGTATTTGTTTTGGAGGATACAGATTTTCCTCTTAAGCTGTAAGGAAGAATAAGTTAAAGGGACAGATAAACTGTACATTCCTTCCCCTGATCCTATATCCTTCTCCACGGCGACCTATGACACAGGTATTCAACATTTAATACTGAAAAATTAGAAAACACATATAAGAAAAATAAAAAGTTATAATCCAACTATACAGAGGTAGTCATTAATGACACTCTGGTGTTTAACCTCTCTTTTTTTCCTTCTATTTTTCAATACTACTAAAATAAGTCAGAGCATATATATAAAACATAACAGAATTGATACACTGAGTTTTGGGGTAAAAGTAAGCTGAAGCATTCTTGAAAAGTCAAAAGATATATATCTGCATGGTTTAAGATATATTTTGTAGCATATGTAATTTTAAAAGAAATGGACCACCACACATTCAGTTTTGCAACAAGCTGTGTCCACTTCTTAAAGCAATACATTTAAAATTCAATGAACCTGGATCTGAGAAAACAATGCCTTGGACAGCTCCCATCCCATCCCCACCCCAAAAGCCAAGGTCATCATAACACAGATACTAATTTCCAAGCTATTCAACACTAGGCATCCCAAGGCCCATCTTCCCCACAAAGCACTCACCTGGTCAGTTTAATTGTGCTGTCCAGGGAAGCAGAGAGAAGTAAGCCTTTGGATCGACTGCTGAAAGCCAGTCCACGTATTTGTTTGCCATGCATAGGAATATACTGACTGCTTTTCATGTTGGCAGTACTCAACATCTTAACACCAAAGCCTGCCAAATTTATGAGAGTGAAACAGATCACTGAAAGTCGATTTAGGGCAAAGAAAACTACCATTTCAAGCAACACCTTTGTTCACCTTTCTTGGCATGTCAGTTTCTGGGGAAAAACTAGTCGAACAAAGAAAATAACTCCCAGGTTATAATTTATTTTAACAAGTACATGCTATACCAAATGTCTATCAAGTATATGAGAAACCATCCTATATACATACAGTGGAATACTACCTAGCAATAAAAAGAAATGAACTACTGACAGACACAATAATATGGATAATCTTTATAAAGTTATGTTGAAAGAACCCAGACAAAAAGATTAACACTGTATGGCTCCAGTTATGTACAATTCTAGAAAATATAAACTAATATATTGAGATAGAAAGTAGATGCCTTGGAAGGAACAGGTGGATGATGGATTACAAAGAGCCTGAGCAAACTTTCAGGGCAACTGATATGTTCATTACCTTGATTGTTACGATGGTTTTAGAAGTGTATACATATACTGATACACACATTAATACTCACCAAATGGTATATCACATTAAGGATGTGCAAGTTTACTGTATATCAATTTTACTGTAATAATAAAGCTTTTAAAGGAAAGCGAGAGACTAGTCTTTCTGAACCACAGAGACTCAAAAATGTAGATGAGAGAGTGAACAACAAAGAATGGAGATAAGTAATTTCTGTGTCATGTGGTCAAGACACTACATTTTTCTGAAACAGAATGAAAATAGGTAAAATCAAGTATCTTAATGTATATCATTCCAAGAGGGGAAAAGAAAGCCAAAAACTTGTCCTTTTATTTGTTACTCTGTTCTCTTACCACATTTATTTTATCAAGTATATATTTTATCTGAGTTATACACTAACAAAATTTGTCAAATCTTAGATTTAAGAGATCCTTGAGAGACTTCCCTGGTGGTCCAGTGGCTAAGAATTTGTCTTGCGATGTAGGAGATGTGGGTTCAATCCCTGCTCTGTAAACTAAGATTCCCACATGCCACAGAGCAACTCAGCCCGTGCACTTCAACTACTGAAGCCTGTGCACTCTAAAGCACGCTAGTCGCAACTAGAGAGCTCAAGAACCGCAAGGAAAGATGCCGCATGATGCAACTAAGACCCAATGCAGACAAATAAATAAGCGAGTTAAGATACTTGAAAAAAAGATAGCCTTGAATCACACTTCTCCTTTGCTAGGGAATCAAGCGAGAGAAAGTTTATTGTGATTTCTGCTAAAACAGAAATAGCAGAGCCAGAGAAACAAACACGGAAACCATAGGTTTTAAATCAACAAGGCAACTCGAGATTTTGCCTAGTTAATCATTAAAGGAAACAAGAAATTAGCATTATCAGTCTATCAGGAAGAGCTGGCTGGGCAGGACAGGATACACTAAGAAATACAGGAACAGATTACACCCAAATAGGGGAACAACTGGAATAAATATTTTTCCAATTAATGGGGAAGGTTTCACTCGAAGATAAACCTCTCTATTAAAACTATGAATGGAATATAGAAACATCATGAACAATCCTTTTACTTTCCCCCTCAGTTGGAGCCTCCTGTTAGCCTCTCAGTGTCAGTGAATAGACAAGTATATGACATTCAAGGGACTCCACCACAAATCCTGTACATGCCTCAGTATGGGGACACAGCTGTGAAGCGTCTGAAAGGACTCTAAGTGGGGAGACACTAGGTCAGGCAGAAGCAAAGGGACCTTATTATACGCTGAAGAGAGCAGGAAAAAACATCTACAACACTGGGCTGTGAGGTTTGGTTTTCAACACTAAGAAAACCTAAAATGAAACTTGAAAAGTGCACAAGAAAGAGAAAATCAGTACAATATTAATAAAATAATAATGTTCCCAAATTCTTTTACTTGGACTTTGTCAATGTGCACACTACTGAAAATAAGCATTCAATCTTGTTTTAACTTGAATTAGACTTTGGGGTAGTGTTTTTTCAAACATTTCTAGTCTAAAATTAATCTGTATTTTAGCAGGACATGCAAGCAATTATAGTCCTTATCCTTGGACAACTCACACTTCTAAGTACGTCTTCTCTCACTTTACCATGGTTCAGCATCTCTGCCCTTCTGGTGAACAAATTTAAAGTGAAACAGACAGTACAGGCATCTTTGTAGTACCCTCAAGTATCTATATCAAGGAAACTAACTAGGAAAAAAGTGATCTGGTTAAGACAGACAGTGTTAAGGTGGACAGTGTTCACCTACTAGTGAGTCCTGGATTATCCAAAAAGGGAGGAAATAAACAAATAGACTCCAACAATGAACATAAAAGTTGAGGTTCTGGACTATTCACCTGGAAGGAAGGCGGCCTGAGGAGAAGGTTGTGACACCACCAGGCAGCTCAAAGCATCACAGTATGTCATGACTCGACAGTTTCCTGTTTGAGACACTGTGAATGTCTTCTGGAAATGGTACTTCTGTTGAGTCTGGCTGGAGGGCAGGCCACTTAGGAAATGTGGTTGGGAACCCCCAGGCTGTTGTGAGAGCTTATCCTGACCGATAAGTTTTTGCAAGTCCTAAAACATAAAAGATTTTGAAGATATAAAGCTATTTCATCTGGTATTACCCTCAAATACAATCCCTTGGTCTAATACAAGGATATGTATCCTTTACATGAAAATGTTAACATGAATTCTAAAGAACTGCTGCAGTTTTCACAATATTTCAATAAGCAATTGAAATAGGGAGAGCACAGAATCATAAAGGGCTTAAAGTCTTAATGATTTAGAAAAGTCACTTTATTGGTAGATTCAAGGAAGTGAAATGACCTAAACAAGTTGTGAATTATCAAGGTGGCTGTTCAATTTTTTTTTTTTCTAATTCAGGATACAGTAGAATTCATCATAAAGCACATATATAAGTTCTAATAAATAATAAAGTTGATCATGTTTCCTTCCTGAAAAACTTGGTAAATCCTATTTGTATCTGAGTGAAACTAAATATTTAGGTGCCTTCTTAATTCCTATTCCAACAGGATTTTGGGTTAGAAAAGGCAAACTTACCTGAACACGACTTTGAAGCCTGGAGCATTCATCAGTAAGGGCTTGAAGCTGTAGCCGACACTGTGCCGAGTCTAACTCGGCCTTCTTCCTTAGCTTCTGCTCCTTCTGTAAGGAACTAACGGGGAAAAGCCAGCAACAGGTAGAGATTAGAAAGGCTACAAGACTTCTCATCAAGATGCATGGTGAATTTATGCTGTGATAGACACACTTTGACTATAAATATGTCATGATAGGGAATAAAATATAACAAGAGAAAAATCTCTCAAACCGAGAAACGTCACAGAATAGCAGACAAGGCTGAGCTCATCAGCCTACTGGAGTTGGTCTCACTGTTGAGGTAGGCAAGGACCAGGAATTTGGCTCTTACTAAGGAATGGGGACACAAAATGCAAAATGAGGGATTAGAGCCAAGCTCACTGCCTGAGTTAGAGCCAAATTAAAAAAGAGCAAAATGACCTGTTAAAAGACCAAGATCATCTACCAGATAAAAAGAAAATCAGCTATTAGATATTAATGAGATATTAAAAGAAAGAACACTATAAAAAGATGTTGTTAAAAAAAGAATAAACCAGGAAAATGCAAAAAAAAAAAAAAAAAAGACTGATCACAATTAAAAAGGATGGATAAGCATAAAGAGGAATAATGTACAATGAAAGGACACATTCATAGGTATGAAAATCATAAATTCACATTTCAAAATATGAAACGCAAATAGATATTTCCACTCCAATAAGATAGGAGAGAAAAAAGATGAACATTGGAAAGGAAGGGAAAAAGTGGCTCTTATTTATCTTCATAGAAAATTCAAGAGAATCCACAAGCTATTAAGAGTTTAGTAAGGTTACTAGAGTTAAGATCAAGAAAATTAGATCAACAGCATTCCCATAAACCAGACAGGTTATTTGTAAATGTAACAAAAAAAAATTCTTTCAAAACAGCATTCTAACAGCAACCTAGGAATAAAGTTAAGGCCTTTAAGAAGCAAAATACAGTTATAAAAGACACAAGGAAACACTGAATAAGTGAAAGGATATTATATGTTGATGGCTAGAAAGACTAAACTGAAGCACTAGAACTAACAGATCCTAGAACAAAAGAGTAGTCCATTTATAATATAGAAACTTAATTGAGAATAGAAGTAGCAATTGAAATTTATAGATAGGACATACTTCGCTAAAATTAAAAACTTTTTCAACAAAGGATACCATAAACAAGTCAAAGAGACAAGTCAAAAACTAGAAGATGGCATGTGCAATGTGCACAACCAACAAAGAGTTAGTGTAAGGAAAACAAAGAACTATAAATCAGTAAGAAACAAATAAATAATATATTTGGCTCAATATAAATGAGTAAAATATTTGAACACAACTTACAGAAGAGTATGTTCAACCTCATAAGCGATTGAGGAAAAACCTCATAAGAAAAGCAAACTAAAGTAAATGCTATTCCACTCCATGAAACTGGCAAAATTAAGTCTGATAATATAAAGTAGATGAAGGGATGAAAAAAATGAGAAATCCCTTACATTACTGCTGCTGGTATAAACTGGAAAAGCCTCTAGGAAGAGCAATTTGACAATATCTAGTAAAGTTGAAATTACATGTACCCTATGATAAAGCAAATCCACTTCTAGACATAACGAAGCTCTCACCCATTTCTCTGCAGCATGGCTTATACTAATGAAAACTGGAAACTATCTGTCTACCAACACAAAATTACATATAGGAAAACTACAGAACCAGAACACTTTATAGAAATTAAAATGAATCAACGAGAGCTACATGTATCAACCAGGATATGTGCCTCAGAGTAATAAACAAAATCAAGCTACAGAAGAAAAACTATAATCCAATAACATTTGCATAAAATGTGAAAACCTTCTAAATCACACTGTATGTGCTTTATGGCCGTAGATCATCTGAGGAAAAAGATGGAATTAAGAAAAACTTGGTGCACAAGGAAGTCTCTTAGGTATTTATAAGGATATATTTCTTTTGTAAAAGACCCAAAACAAATACGGAAAATGTTAAGATTTGATAAAGTTGAGCCTGTGGGTATTCATCTTGTTAGTCTCGGTATGTATCACCTTTTTGAAATTCTTCTCAAGAGGCTAAGGAGTACACCGATTGTAGTAATCAGCAAAGTTTTAAATACAGTTTTAAATACATGCATTACTAGCCACCCCTACTGGTTTCGCCTTTTCAAGAAAATTTTCCCCACCACATACCTGTCATTTTAACATACAACAAATAAATATTCGTTGGAGTGAAATTAATACATCTGTAATTCCACTTTACAGTGACTACTTACATGTTTTTTCCAGTTTGCAAAAATATAATCACACTAACAACATGCTTTCGCATGACAACATACTATATGTACTTTAACATCAGTTTTAATCAATGTATAGTGTTTCATCACATGGATATGCCAGAGTTTACTCAACCAATCAATCTTCTGGATTGGTTTGGATTATTAACTAAATGAAAAGCCTGATTAAACACATTTTTGTACATATCCTTAATCATTTTTTTAGAATGCCTAAAGCAGAATTACTTTTAGACTTCTGAATTATATTGCCAAGGGCCTCTCTAAAGGTTAATATTTATGTACATTTTTACCAGTAATGCATGAGCGAACCCACATCCCCATACTCTCAATGCAGGGGGGGTTTTTTTTGGCTGCTGCGGCATGGCATGTGGGCTCTCAGTTCCCTGACCAGGGAACAAGCCTGCCTCCCCTGCATTGCAAGGCTGATTCTGAACCACTGGACCACCCGGGAATTCCCTATCTTTACTGTTCTTAAAGCATATTTTATAAGTAGTGTTTTTAGCAATTGTCCATGGGCTTCCCAAATCCCAATAATTTCTTGCATTGTATTGCTTCAGTTATGAGACTTCTTTGTAGAATACTGTGGCAGGAGGTCTTAGGGACACAAGAAGCAAAAATTCTGTTTTTAAAAAAGTATTTTTAAGCCTGAGCCTATTCTAACGACAAGGAGGTTGAGACTTGGAGTGTATTCTAGATGGCCGTGAATTGGCTACAATGAGTAACACAGGAGATTCCCTGATTCAGTGTTCACCGAATTTAGTGGCAGAGGCAGGCAGTAAAGGTAATCCCTTAGGGAAGAAGCTGGGCAGGCTACCAAAAAATCCAGGCTATCTTTATGTGTGGGTCTGCTGCCCAGCTTAGGTGTGAGGTATTACTGTATGGCTAAAGGTTTCTCTATGACTTGATTTTACCAGACCACGTCTTGGCCTCCCCAAGTCACATTACCAAAGACTTAAGTCTTAGCGCTGACTCCAAGGTCACAGGAATGCCAAAGTGCTCCTGCAGAGCCACCTGCTCCGATCAGCACACAACCCTCAGGCCCTGAAAATGGAGGCTACGAGGTGCTGAGCACACAGATGAGCGCAGCAGTCCACCACCTGTTGCTCTTTTAGCCCCTGTCTTTCAAGAAAGGAGATTTTCATCCTCTACTTCTCAGCTCTGTTTTCTTATGCATTGACTTAATTTTCTGATAGTCTATACTAGCTTTTTTCCCTGAAGAGTTCACGCAAAAGTCCTGGGGCTTACATTCATTGAGCTATGTGAAGGCACAATAATTTATTACTCCAGATCATCACTTTTAATCCTATATGGAGAGTAAACCGTGCATCACGTGATCAGACATGTATCGTAAGTCACAATTATAGATCGCCAACAATCCCCAGATTCCTAGTCACAGTTCACGGAAAGCCTCAGAATCACACTAAGAGTGACTCATACCCCCTTTTTCAGATGAGCCTACAAAGAACCAAAAGGGAATATTTCAGCTAGACAGACTCTTTTCACCTACCTCTTCATGAGCTCCTGCTCACTAGTGTCCAAAGCTCTCAAGGTCCGGGCATAAAGGACAACGATATCACTTTGCTTGGCTTTCTTGTTGCACTAAGGAGCCCAACAGGACATAATTAGTGTGGTTCTAGGAGTCCTCCTGGCTTAACATGTTGACTGTGCACATACACAGCTCTTAACTACAGTCTATACCTGGGGACATTTTCGGGTCTGTCCTCTGAGCCACTTCAAAATGCAGTTGTACCCAAAGAGGTGACCACAGCGCAAGGCCGAGAGCCGGTGATCCCCAGCATTGGTCCACTGCTCCAAACATATCGTGCAAGTGTCCCCTTCTTCCTCATCCACAGACGCAGGAGTCAGAGAAGGGTTAGACTTCTGGGGAGACTGCAGGATGGAAACCAGAATACATTCAAATAGAGAAAATGCACAATCTGTCTTGAATATATGAAACTAACAAATTAACAAAAATCACACAAAAATGAACAAGCCCAACTGAAAAATGCCAAAGGAAAACCCAACACCCATGAATCACTTCCCATTCTTTCCAGATTGCAATCTTGTCAAAGATAATATAAACCGTGAAAATATCATCATCCTTTGAACTCACGAAATTCTTGATTTTTTTTCATTCAAATGACAAAAAGGAGCTATATTTACGAAGATATTAAAACCAAACAAACCCAGAAGTGATCCAGTTAAAAAACAACAGAGAATATTAAGTCTTTTATACATTCGAAATTAGGTTCATAATTCAAGTAGCTATAAAATATCTGGTTCATGTGAATAAAGAAAAAAATACAAGGGAAAAGAGAAAGGAATATAAACAGCTCACACAAAAATACAAATGGTTAGTAAGTGTTCGGCTATAATTAAAGAAACAAAAATTAAACTGTTTTTACTTCTTTTCATCTATTAGATAATGTCTGGTAACACGAAGCACTGCAGGTGAGGGAGAGATGGGCATGCTTACATACCGCTATTGCAAGTAGAAACTGGCACAAATTTTCCAGAGGGCAACTTGGCATTATCTATTAAAACTAAAAATACAAACATCCTTCCTTTGATAAAGCAACCTCTCTGGAAGAAATATATCCCATGAATATAACCACAAATATTTGCCAAGACAATAATGCAAAGATGATCAGTGCAGCATGATCTTAGAAGGAAGCAAGAATAGTGCACACAGCAAGGGAAGAAGTAACTAAAAATTTATTCCCATGTAAAAACACTATGCAGCTATTACTACCAGTAAGAATGAGGTTCACTTTTATGTTGGACAGTCACTAAGTCACTCTTTGCGACCCCATGGACTGTAGCCCACCAGGCTCGTCTGTGCATCGAACTTCGCAGGCAGGAATACTGGAGTGGGTAGCCATTTCCTTAAATTTTATGTACTGACAATAAAAAACTCTCCAAGAGAAACTTCCCTGGTGGTCTAGTGACTGGGAATCTGCGTTCCAATGCAGGGGACATGGCTTTGATCCCTGGTGAAGAACTAGGACTCCACATGCCACAGAGCAACTAAGCCTAGGCCCTATGACAACTGAGCCTGTGCACTGCAGGGCACAGAGGAGAAGAGAAGCGTGCGCTGCAACTAAAGAAGCCCCTGCGCGCTGCAACAAAGACCCAGCACAGCCAGAGTCAATTAAAAAAAAATAAAAAGACATGGCAAGGATCAAGATTAGTTGAGCAATTAATCACACATTTAATCACCTAGTCCTACAATTAAAAAAAAACCTCTCCAAGATACAAGTCAGAGGGAAAAGAAACAAGTTCTGGAACAGGATAGTATGTAATCTCTCTTGTGTAAATTTTAAAATAGAGCATTTAAATGAATTCAGTAAAGTTGAAGGATACAAAATTCACCTACAGAAATCTGTTGCATTTCTACACACTAACAATGATCAGAGAATTAAGAAAATATAACCCCATTTAAGAACCGTATTAAAAAGAATACAATAAACTAGAATTTAATCTAACCAAAGAGGTAAAACACCTGTACTCTGAAAACTATGACATTGATGAAAGAAACTGAATATGATACAAACAATTGGAAAAACACATTATGCATATTGGAAGAATTGGATTGGAAGAATTAACACTGTTAAAATAATCACATTCCCATCAAGGCAATCTACAGATGCAATGCAATCCCTGCCAAAATATGAACAGCATTTTTCATAGAACTAGACTAAATGATTTTAATTTATATGAAAACATCTTTAGTATTAGTCCTTCCAATGAATATTCAGGACTGATCTCCTTTAGGATGGACAGGTTGGATCTCCTTGCAGTCCAAGGGACTCTCAAGAGTCTTCTCCAACACCACAGTTCAAAAGCAGCAATTCTTCGGCGCTCAGCTTTCTTCACAGTCCAACTCTCTTATCCATAGCAATTCTTCGGCGCTCAGCTTTCTTCACAGTCCAACTCTCTTATCCATACATGACCACTGCAAAAACCATAGCCTTGACTAGACGGATCTTTGTTGACAAAGTAATGTCTCTGCTTTTCAATATGCTATCTAGGTTGGTCATAACTTTCCTTCCAAGGAGAAAGTATCTCTTAATTTCATGGCTGCAATCACCATCTGCAGATATTTTGGAGCCCAGAAAAATAAAGTCAGCCACTGTTTCCCCATCTATTTCCCATGAAGTGATGGAACCAGATTTTAGTTTTCTAAATGTTGAGCTTTAAGCCAACTTTTTCACTCTGCTCTTTCACTTCCATCAAGAGGCTCTTTAGTTCTTCTTCACTTTCTGCCCTAAGAGTGGTGCAATCTGTGTATCTGAGGTTATTGATATTTCTCCCGGCAATCTTGATTCCAGCTTGTGCTTCCTCCAGCTCAGCGTTTCTCATGATGTACTCTGCATATAAGTTAAATAAGCAGGGTGACAATATACAGCCTTGACATACTCCTTTTCCTATTTGGAAACAGTCTGTTGTTCCATGTCCAGTTCTAACTGTTGCTTCCTGACCTGCATACAGGTTTCTCAAGAGGCAGGTCAGGTGGTCTGGTATTCCCATCTCTTTCAGAATTTTCCACAGTTTATTGTGATCCACACAGTCAAAGGCTTTGGCATAGTCAATAAAGCAGAAATAGATGTTTTTCTGGAACTCTCTTGCTTTTTCGATGATCCAGCGGATGTTGGCAATTTGATCTCTGGTTCCTCTGCCTTTTCTAAAACCAGCTTGAACATCTGGAAGTTCACGGTTCACGTATTGCTGAAGCCTGGCTTGGAGAATTTTGAGCATTACTTTACTAGCGTGTGAGATGAGTGCAATTGTGTGGTAGTTTGAGCATTCTTTGGCATTGCCTTTCTTTGGGATTGGAATGAAAACTGACCTTTTCCAGTCCTGTGGCCACTGCTGAGTTTTCCAAATTTGCTGGCATATTGAGTGCAGCACTTTCACAGCATCATCTTTCAGGATTTGAAATAGCTCAACTGGAATTCCATCACCTCCACTAGCTTTGTTCGTAGTGATGCTTTCTAAGGCCCACTTGACTTCACATTCCAGGATGTCTGGCTCTAGGTGAGTGATCACACCATTGTGATTATCTGGGTCATGAAGATCTTTTTTGTACAGTTCTTCTGTGTATTCTTGCCACCTCTTCTTAATATCTTCTGCTTCTGTTAGGTCCATACCATTTCTGTCCTTTATTGAGCCCATCTTTGCATGAAATGTTCCCTTGGTATCTCTAATTTTCTTGAAGAGATCTCTAGTCTTTCCCATTCTATTGTTTTCCTCTATTTCTTTGCATTGATCACTGAGGAAGGCTTTCTTATCTCTCCTTGCTATTCTTTGGAACTCTGCATTCAAATGGGAATATCTTTCCTTTTCTCCTTTGCTTTTCGCTTCCCTCCTTTTCACAGCTATTTGTAAGGCCTCCTCAGACAGCCATTTTGCTTTTTTGCATTTCTTTTTCTTGGGGATGGTCTTGATTCCTGTTTCCTGTACAATGTCATGAACCTCAGACCATAGTTCATCAGGCACTCTGTCTATCAGATCTAGTCCCTTAAATCTATTTCTCACCTCCACTGTATAGTCATAAGGGATTTGATTTAGGTATACCTGAATGTAATTATCAGGGACATGCAAATTAAAACCACAAAGAGATACCACCTTACACCTGTCAGAATGGCTATCATCAAAACAACAACACACAGTAAGCACTGGCGAGGATCCGGAGAAAAGGAAACACTTGTGAACTGTTGATAGGAACATAAGTTGGTGCAGCCACTAAGGAAACAGTATGGATTATGGACAAATACCATATGATCTCACTTACATGGAATCTGAAAAATAAAACAAGAAAAAACCCACAGACTAAGAGACACAGAGAACAAATGGGTGAGTGCCAAAGGGAAGGGAGTGGGGGTGTATGACAAAACAGGTTGAAGGGGATTAAGAGGTACTAACTTGCACTCATCTCACAGGCTAGCAAAGTAATGCTCAAAATTTTCCAAGCCAGGCTTCAACAGTACGTGAACTGAGAACTTTCAGATGTTCAAGTTGGTTTTAGAAAAGGCAGAGGAACCAGAGATCAAATTGTCAACATCCGTTGGATCATCGAAAAAGCAAGAGAATTCCAGAAAAACATCTATTTCTGCTTTATTGACTATGCCAAAGCCTTTGACTGTGTGGATCACAACAAACTGTGGAAAATTCTGAAAGAGATGGGAATACCAGACCACCTTACCTACCTCCTGAGAAACCTGTATGCAGGTCAAGAAGCAACAGTTAGAACTGGACATGGAACAACAGACTGGTTCCAAATAGGCAAAGGAGTATGTCAAGGCTGTATATTGTCACCCTGCTTATTTAACTTATATGCAGAGTACATCATGTAAAATGCCGGGCTAGATGAATCACAGGCTGGAATCCAGATTGCAGGGAGAATTTTCAATAACCTCAGATACACAGATTGCACCACCCTTATGGCAGAAAGTGACGAACTAAAGAGGCTCTTGATCAAAGTGAAAGAGGAGAGTGAAAAAGCAGGCTTAAAGCTCAACATTCAGAAAACTAAGATCATAGCATCTGATCCCATCACTTCATGGCAAACAGATGGGGAAACAACGGAAACTGACAGACTTTATTATCTTGGGCTCCAAAATCACTGGAGATAGTGACAGCAGCCATGAAATTAAAAGATGCCTGCTCCATGGAAGAAAAGCTATGACCAACTTAGAGAGCATATTTAAAAGTAGAGACATTATTTTCCTGACAAAGATCCATCTAGTCAAAGCTGTAGTTTTTCCAGTAGTCAAGGATGGATGTGACAGTTGGACCACAAAGCTGAGCGCTGAAGAATTGATGCTTCTGAACTGTGGTGTTGGAGAAGACTCCTGAGAGTCCCTTGGACTGCAAGGAGATCCAACCAGTCCATCCTAAAGGAAATCAGTCCTGAATATTCACTGGAAGGACTGATGCTAAAGCTGAAACTCCAATACTTTGGTCACCTGATGCGAAGAACTGATCATTGGAAAAGCCTGTGATGCTGGGAAAGATTGAAGGCAGGAGGAGAAGGGCATGACAGAGGATGAGATGGTTGGATGGCATCACCAACTTGATGGACATATGTCTGAGCAAGCCCTAAGGATTTGGTGATGGACAGGGAAGCCTGGTGCATTGCAGTCCATGGGGTCTCAAAGAGTTGGACACAACTGAGTGATTGAACTGAACTTCCAGTTATAAAATAATAAACCATGTGGATATAATATATAGCATGAGGAACATGGTCAATAATACTCTAATAGTTTCGTATGGGGACAAATGGTTACTAAATTTATTGTGGTGATCACTTTATAATGTATGCAAATGTCAAGTCACTTTGCAGTACACCTGAAACTAACATATGTAAACTATATTTAAATAAAGTAAAAAATTATACATGTAAGTAAATTTACATGAGCTAATTTTTCTAAAGAGAATAAATAAAAACAGAAACATGCAAAAAGTGAATCAATAATGTTTCCAAACTGGCAGGGTCCACAGTTTATATAAATACATCTCATATTAAGGACAGTGATGTTATTTTTAAAAATAAAAACAGTTTATCTCATAGCAAGCATTCTGCCAGACAGTTCATAAACTGCATTCATATTGGCTGTTTTAATTGATACATAACCTTGTTAGGTGGGACGGACAAATATTCAAACCTTCCCCTACCCTCTGTTTTTAAACCTAAGGGTAGCACTCACACAAATAATGAGTAACATCTGGGCCCCCTGCCTACAAAGTCTGTGAGTTTTCCATTTTAGCCTGCCAGTCTCCTTTTTAAATGTAAATACAAATCTAAAAGGATGTTCATATTACCTGTTTGCGGAGAGTGTCTTCTGCCCCAATACATGTAACTTCTTGGTCTGTTGAGATATCTTCTAGTTGCTCTGCCAAGTTGTTTCCAGAAATGACGGGACAGGTAACATATAAAAGAAGATATGAGTCAGGTATGAGGCTGGCAGGAGAGCCTAACTCACCACAGCTTTCCCTTTTATGGCAACACTAGAAATGGCAGGGAGAGCAGATTCAGTCTCTGGATGGGGAACTAAGATCCTGCATTATCAAGGAACCAAAAAAAAAAAAAAACCAAAAAGAATTCATTGATGCTATTTCAATCTAAGACCCTATGAATACATTCATTATTTTTTTTTAATGCTCAAATTGCCCCAAAATGCTCAAAGTGCCCTAGGCCACTAGGTTCTCTTTCAAGGTTGCACCTATGCCTACTGACATAACTGTAAGACAGGCTTTGCTTTCTACCACAATAAAATGCCCTAGGCTCATCTTGTATATCTCCTATCACAGACTTGGAAAAAAGTGACCAACTCAGTGGGTCACAAATCACATAAAACTGCAAGCCAGATAAAATCCTTTCTGTATAGTCATGGCCCGTGTAAGCTCATGGCATCACTAACTCAACGGCCACGAGTCTGAGTAAACTCTGGGAGCTGGTGACGGACAGGGAGGCCTGGAGTGCTGCAGCCCATGGGGTCGCGAGGAGTTGGATATGACTGAGCGACTGAAGTATCTGACTGAGTGTAAGCTCTGCACTATAAAGCAGTAATCTATGACATCCGGCGTGAAAAGTAAAAGTATCAAAACACAAGTCTAGAGCTTCTAGCCTTCTGGAGCCTAAGCTTGTCGGCTGCTGACCTTGTAGTCTGGAGAAAGAGTACTCACCTTCTAAAACAACAGCTTCAGGCTCCTCTGCCGGAGCACCTCCCTCCTCAAACTCTGTGGAGCTGTCACTGTCGGAAGCAGAACTGCCTGATACCTGCATGTCATCAGAGACAGGATTCCTGGTCTCTGAATCATGAGAGGTGGCTGACGAATGAGGCTGGGTCCTGCTCGCTTGAAAGAAAGCATCCAACGGTGCTCTCAACCTATGCACGGAGAAAGACAACAGAATTCTAGTACAACATACTAACATCACAAGAATAATCCACAGTAATCTGGAGGTAAATCCTAGTCATTTTAATGCATCACCAGGCCATTAAATGTTGAAGTAGGAACAGAGATTCAGGCAGATGCTGACTGGACTACATATGCTCTTTCTATTCAATTACTCCATCAGCTCACACTGAAGCTTGACCCTTCTGCTAAAAGCTAATCTTACTTTACTGGTACTTCTTTTGTCAATATCTTTTAAAGACATGACTCATTAATACATTAAAAGAAAGAGAGAGAAAACTAACTTAGCAATTTGTCTGCTAATATTAGGGGGCTGAAAAGAGTGGGCAAGACAAAAAAACGGCCCTATTGATCAAATACAGCCTCATAAATTCTGTTGCTGCAGCTACTCAGACCAAGGTCTTTGGGGGTATTAAGTCTGGCTACAGTCATTATTGTTTCAACTCTCACTTTAAGCCATTTTTCTTTTCAAGTTAAAAATGCTTAAAAAAAAAAAAAAGTTAAAAGCTCTCTTTTGCCCACTCAAACTTTCTGCTGAAAGTTTGTGTCAACTCCAGTATTTCTACTTTGTACATTTTTATAACTTCAGTCTCTTTATTAAAATTATCTATCTGGTGACACAGTGTTTTATCCTTTGCTTTAGTTTTTTTAATATATTTAAATAATCTAGTAAGTTCAACATTTTGGTTTCTTCATAAAGTTTGTTTTTCCTGTGTAATGACTATACTTTCTTTACACATCTTATATTTTCTTGAAAATTGGACATCTCATAAAACATAATGTGATAACTCTGGAAATGAGAATTCACTGTTCCCAGGGTTTGTTGCTGTTATTTCTTATAGTTGTTACTGTTTGTTTAGTGACTTTCTGAAGTAATTCTATAAAGTTTGCACTCTTTGCTATGCGTGCTGTTTGGTTAGCTTTGTGCTCAGTTCATGACTAGACAGAGATTTTCTTAAACACCTGGAATCAGTAAGCCTCCCAGTCTTTGCTGAGGTATCTGATGTGTGTGTTGGGGCACATCAATAATCAGCCAAGCAGGTGACAACTCTACGTTAGACTTCATTTCTTGCTTATGCAGAGCCTCAAGGTCAGCCAGAGATGAGAGCTACCTGCTTTAGTGCCTTCTGAGGCCTGCCCTGAGCATGGGTACAGCTGCACACAGCCCTCGACATGAATGTGGCCTTTTAGATTCCCAGGAATATGTCAGAACTTTTTAAAACCCCATATGAAGATCACATTCCCCAGCTTTTCCTTTTAGGCTTTTTGGTTAGTGTAATGTTTGCCCCAGTGACCATCCACTGCCTCAGACAGATCCTGGGGAATAGGCTTTAAGCTTTTAAGACTAAGACAAGCCAGGAATAACCTTTCAAGTGGCATCTTCCAGGAAACCACTAAACAGGTGAAAAAAGAATTCTTTGGTATTGAGGTTTCAAAGTACCTCCAATTCCATTCTACTCTCTCTAGTTGCTTCTAGGCTACTGGCCTTTCACTGTGATTACAGGCAGTTTTCAAGACTACTATGGAGCTGAAGAGGAGAATGGGAATAGGGAATGCCACAAAGCTCACAGTTCTTACTGAGACTCAGCTGGCTTTCTTCGAGACTCACTCACTGAACTGTTACAAGCACTGGATAATTTCCAGAATACTGAAAAAGTTGATTTTGATAAATGTTGCCAGTTGTTTCACTGATTCGATACAGAGGATTTTTCTGAGGTCCTTATTCTGCCATTTGCACTGATGTCACTCAGGTTTGCTTTTTTAAGAAAATGCTAAGCAAGTTTTAAAATTTATTTTTAAGAACTGTGCATGAGCAGCAGCTATAGCTATTCATGAAAATAAGCACATAAGAGCAGCACTGCCTAAGAACATTTGAACTAAATGAAACATATAATAAAGTTAATCTATTACATGCATAGGGCTTCCCTTATAGCTCAGTCAATAAAGAATCTGCCTGCTGCAATGCAGGAGATCCAGGTTCAATTTCTGGGTTGGGAAGATCCCCTGGAGAAGGAAATGGCAACCCACTCCAGTATTCTTGCTTGGAGAATCCCATGGAGTCATAAGAGATGGACATGACTTAGCAACTAAACCAGCACCATTACATGCATATCAATAGCATTCTGCATAGAAACCAGTAAAAATTAAATGATTAACTTTCTTTAAAAAATCACTCATTAATATTGCTTTTATTAGCAAATAGGCATTTCCAAGGTCAGGAGGGGACTATGAAAAGCAACTGGGAAACAGTGCTTAGGAGTATAGTCCTGTAATTCTCCTCTTTTCCTGCACTCATCATCTCTGGATTAAATAACAGTAGAATAAATTCTTGCCCCTTGCTTACCCTCTGTAGTCCTAGATTCCATAAGCTCCATGAAAACTGGTACCCTGATCTGTCCTGTTCAGATGTATATATCTCCAAGGCAAAAGTTCAGTTTTTCACATAGTGGAGTGTTACAAATATTTGACGAATGAATGATGACGCTGACAGTCAGAATTAAGCAGCCTCAAACAAAGAAATAGGAAAGGAGTTTGTGACCTTGACTGAGAAGTAGTTGGGAAAAATATCCCATTAGGTAGGTTTCCCCAATGTGGTGGAGCCTGAGGCAAAAGCGTCTCACCTTGGCCCAGGCTCTCAACACCTGGCGCAGGGGTAGTGTCAGGTGAGTAAATGCCACCAAACACCATAATGAGAAATTCACTTCAAGATATTCAGAAGGTATAAGCAAATCAGTCCTGGGAAAGCTCAGACTTCTGTGTGAATTTAGTGTGGAATTAATTTACAACACAATATTTAACAGCAAGAAATTTTAATGTCTCATTTATCAGGCTCCAGAATCCATGTTCTCTGCACACAGTGCTTTGCCTTGAAGGTCTATTCTCTTTGTGGAGACAAATTGACATCATTTAACATCTAAATTCTGTAGCTCAATCCCTGAGCACAGATTCTACATACATCAAGAAATTTTCTGATTATAGAGTCTGGCTTCTGTGTGTCAGTACCCTCTAGGAGAACCATGCTGACAATGCCAGAGAATCTGGTCTCTGTGCTGTTTCTAATTTTCTCTGTAAATTGGCATCTGGTTTATGAGTGTCACTCTCCTGTGAACTCATTACACTAATGTCCCCAACCAAGTGCAATCCCCTCACCCACTCACCCAATGTATGAACAACCAAGCCTGAGGACAATTTAAGAGTCCACTTCACAGTTCCGGAGGACACCACTCTCAACTCTCAGCCCCCTTATTATTTCAACAGGGTCCCCAAATTGCACTACAGGGTACCTTCGTCTATGACACAAATATATGAAATCCTACTTTGCTTTGAAAATCAGCATAAATGGCACCTTAAAATAACAGAGTAGCATGGACTTGCAATTCCTGTCAACACAGAATGAGGCTCTTCTCATCCAGCACTGACCAGGCATTAGAGACTAAAGCCACAGTGACAGCAGCCCTGATACACTAACAGCAGGATCCACTGAAAAGGATGCTGAAATCCAGAATCAGAAGGCACAACTTCAACTCCAGAGTCACCTTAGTCAAACCATAAATAACCCCATCATCTTCCTCATTTGCAAAACACAGGCAACAGACGGCCCAGCTACCACTTTTTAGTGCCATCTCATTCTTTTTGATATTTATTTTGTATTATTTACTTGTTTGGCTGTGCTGGGTCTTAGTTGTGGCAGGCAAACTATCACGTGCCACACGTGGGATTAAGTTCTCTAACCAGGGATTGATCCCAGGCCCCCTGCATTGGGAGTGCAGTCTTAGGCACGGGACCACCATGGAAGTCCCTCATTATTTTCATAGTGTTAGAAAAATGGATCTGATTGAAGCTTCCTTTATTTGCTTTTGTAGACAACAGTCAGATCCAGGTTCCAACATCAGCTCTAACCTCCTCTGTACTGTCACTCTGAGACCCTGAATAAATCAATCTCTCAGGGTCCAAGTTTCTTTCACATTTAAAATGAAAAGGTTGAATTCAATCTCTTTCAACATTATGAAGACATTTAGAAAGCCAACTATGGAACTAAGTATTTCAAACAAAGCAGGAGAAGTTAAAAAACAGATTAAAATATACACAACTGTTATTCTTCAAAATAACTGTCAAGACTTGACAGCTAACCCCTTCAAGAGGCAAGTTCAAACCAAAACCTATGGAAGAAAATTATTTTTAACTCTGCAACACAGTATCAGGTGAGGAGAGCTAGAATGTTTCCTACTAAGTCAGATAAGTTCTATATTAATTCACACTCTACTTTTCACAAGGGTTCTCTAAATCCAGCCTGCCCATCTTACAAAACCTACTGTACCACTAAGTGGAGTGCCAATGAACAATGAATCTCAGGCAAGTGGAGTGGACTTGCAAGTTAAATATATATGTATATATATTTGATGTACAAGAGACAAATGAGCAAAAGAAAAGCCAGCCTCTACAGACACCATTGCCAACAAACTACCAACAAGTTTCAAAACATATCTGTGTACCTTATCCTCTCCACTACTTTGTGAAGTAAATAAACCAAGTAATTTTATTTTCATCTGATTTATGAGGTACTGGGGGTTCAGAAAGGTTACTCGACTTGCCAAGTCACAACGCCAATTCCTGGCAGCACTGGGGCTATCATCAGGGCCTAAGGTTCATAATTCCCAATCAGGTACTAATCCCACTATTTACACATCTATTTACCTGGCACTGTTTGTCCTCTGGGACCCTCCTGTTCTTGTCCTCCGTGAAGCAGAAATCCTCCTACTCCTCCTCGCTCTCATGGGCCCCACACTGCGGCCTGAAGTCGGTCGCAGGAACTCCAGCATGCCATGAAGTCTCTGCAGCCCATTGATGAAGCTGTTCACTGAATCCAATGAAGGCACTTGGGGAGCGTCGTTAGCACCAGATCTCGGCCTAAACTCCTCTAAAACTCCTGGACTGAGGTTCCCCACAGTCTCTGTTCCCGAGAGCTCCACTTCCTCTGTCAGATCAACAGATATCTGTGGAATAGGCGGAAGCAGCGGCACTCTCTCTGGGCTGTTGAAGATCTCCTCAGGAATGGGTTGGAGCAGGGGTGGTCCTCCTTGGATGCTGACCACCTCAGCAAGTACAGGACGCAACACGGGTGGTCCCTCCTGGCTGCTGACCTCCTCAGTGTGAGGAGGCCGGAGCAGGGGTGGGGCCCCTTGGCTGCTCACCACCTCGGCAGGAGCAGGCTGTTCTGCAGCACCATGATCTAATTGCACCTGAAGATCATATCCCACCGCTTCACGAGCCATCACTGAGGAAGTAATATTTGCAAAAAGTATTAGCAAAATGTATCAGCTATGTGGCATGTTTTATCTAATTATGTCTATCATTTAATGTTTCTGTTTAAGATCATTCTTGACAAAACTGAGAAACTTAAAAAGATGATTTTAGCTCTTTTCCTATAATAAGGACTTTTAACCACTTATCCTGTTTACACTTCGAAAACATAAAGTCATGTGATCATAGCACTGGTCTTTAAAAGAATCTATAAAATAAGAGAATTGAACTATTGAAAATAATCCCTCAGACCTCTTGCAGTTCTGTCATGACCTGTATATGGACATTTACTACAACAAATGCATACAATGCTGTATTTAATTTTAGTAGGCAATATTCACCTTTCATGGCACTAAAGCGCAAAGACTAAACACAGAAAGAACACTTCCATAAAATAACTCAAATGATAACTCAAAATAGAAATTTACCTATTTCCCCCAAAATGCTGAGCAACCTTTATTTACTTCAACTTTTTCATTACTTTTGTTTTCTGTCTCTAAGTCCATTTGTTAGTCCGTTCAACAAATATTTATTAAGCGCTAGTTATGTTCCTTTCATTATTTGTTTCCTGTCTCTACTCCACTACATTAGTCTATTTTTCAAGAAATATTTAAGCATCTGTCATATAGTCAAGACACTTCACAGAGGCAAACAGATAAGTAGATAAGACCCAGCGTAATACAAGTTACATTCTAACAAATGAGAGAATAAACAAATCAATGTGAAAATTATATATTGTGCCATTTGGTTTTAGGAGTGGGGGGCAAGACACAACAGTGAGAGGCTGCCTCTTATAAGACAAGAAGGATTAAAAGAAGTTGGTCACATGAAGAGCCAAGAAAGAGTTTCAGAAGAAAATCAATACAAGGTGTCTGCTAAGTATGGGTTTAGTGCATCAGAGAAACTAAGAAGCCCAGCATGACGAGCACAATAAGAAAGAGCAGACAGTATGAGGCTGAGTATGAGGAGTGAAGCTGAAGATACACGACACTTTCACTAAAAGGGCTTGGTAAGGAGTTTCTTCTGTGCTAGGAATGGACTGTAGGGGAGGAAAAGTGCAGGCAAAGTGACCACTTTATAGGCTATTATGGGAGTGCAAACTAGTGGTCACAGAGGCAAGAATAGTAGCAGTGGAGATGGAAGAGTAGACAGCTTTAAGAATCCTCAGTATAGTCATGCCACTTAAAATCTTGGGATAGATAAACTACCTAAGAAGGAACTGAGATAGAAAAAAAGCAGGCCAAGGACTAATACCAGAGACATTAACATTAAAAGGATAACAGCTTTAGGAAGAGAACCCAGAAACCAAGATCATGAGGTAGGAGAAAACCTGGGAGAGTGTGGTGTCTTAGAAGAATGATGCAAGGAGGGGACAGTCAGGTGTGTCAAGTGCTACTGAGGGGAAGAATAGCCACTAGATTTAGCAATGTAGAGGTGACAGATAATCTAGAAAAGAGCTGTTTCCCCAAAGTGATGAGTAGAGGCCAGACTGAAGTGGTCAGCATAAACGCAGAGAATTCCAATAAACACAGCAGATGAAGTATGTTTTTCTTTCCTAGTCATTCCTGAAAATCCATGAACATGACCCCCATCCCCGTGCAAGAAATAGCAATAAAAAAAGGATAAATCACAAGCACAAAGCAAAGACAGTATGAGACATACGAATCAGTTTTCTGTACCAATAACTGGTAGGACTGTGTGCTATTGAAAAGCAAGCTAATTTCCACTGAGGGAACTGTAGAAACCACATATCACAGAAGATAGCATTGAAAGATGGAGATGGACAGGAGGATTAGCTGAAAGCCTATGAAAGTAATCTGTTCCTCTAGGAAACAACAAAAAAAACACCTCCCCCGATGCTGCAGAAAACTGGAATTTTGAACCACACAGACTTAAGACCAGCAGTAAAAACAAGGAGTTAAGTAAAATTCTACAAACTTTCACAAGTGTGAAACACTTCCAACCCTTCTCCCCAGCTGCACAAATCCAGAACGCAATATTCTGGTTTTTACACATTCTCTATGCCTCAAGGCAGGAGACTAGAGGACTGTTCTCTAGAGAAAACCGGCTGAAGAGAAAAGATCTATAAATACTAACACTTGTAAATCTCAAGAAAATGGCTGGGTCTCTGTCCTTATATCTAATGGTAAAAGTCCCTTGGTTGGTAAGGTTCAGTCATTCATACAGAGCTTCCAATCTTTTCTGAGGGAAGTGAAAGTCGTTCAGTTGGGTCCAACTCTTTGCGACCCCATGACTAGAGCCCATGGAATTCTCCAGGCCAGAATACTGAGTGGGTAGCTTTTCCCTTGTCCAGGGGATCTTCCCAACCCAGATCACCCGCATTACAGGTGGATTCTCTACCAGCAGAGCCACAAGGAAGCCCTTGTGTCCTTATATCTAACAGTAAAAGTCCCTTGGTTGGTAAGGTTCAGTCATTCATATAGCTTCCAACCAGTTTTCGGGGGCGGGGGGGTCGGTCTCTCTGCAAAACAAACAGCCTAAGAACAACTGACATTCAAGAAAAACCTCCAACATGAGAGGAAACCAAAGCAGACCAAGAGAAGAAACTTGGAAAAAAGAAATGTGATGCAAGAAATGGTAATAAGTAAGTAAATAAAATAAATCCAAACTTAAAAAAATGCCAAGGGATAAAAATAAGTTAAAATCAGAATGCAAGAAAGAGGTCTTAGAAATTTTACAATCAAAATAAAAGCTTCAATAGAAGGACTGTAAGATAAACCTGAAGAACTCTCAGAAAACAAGACAGTAAAAATAGTAATATTAAAAGGTTAAATCAGAATACTTGACTAACTGAAGTACAAGAATGAGAACTCAAAATGGAGAAAGAAGTGAAGCAAAACCTCTGGTCAAGATGGAACCATAAACTCTCTTCCAACTAAGAATACCAACTCAGTAAATTTCCTCAAAAACTATACTGAAAATAAAAAAGCAGACTACAGATGAAACTCCATTATTAATTCCATCTTTAGGGCACTTAAAAATATGCAAAACCACACTACTATATGGATTTATAAATATAAAGTAGTATAAAACTACTTTATATTAAAGTAGTTTATATAAAAGTAGTTTATATAAAACTACTTTTTCAAGCCCAGGCATGAAAAATACCCAATTCAGGAGACGGAGGGTGATGGAGTACACATGAGGTTTTGACTATAGAATTTATTTATTTAAGAATAAGAAAGAAAGAAAAACTCTTATCAAAAGGTCAAAGTCAAGATTTGTTAGATAGGGGTGGTGAATGCACGAATCTTTTAAAAATTATTCTGTGCACTTTTCAGTATGGTTAACATTAAAAAGTGAAATTTCTTCCCATGATATGTCAGTTCTGATTAGAGAACAAAAGTTCTGATGAGATGTGAAAGGCCCAGAGCCAAATCCCAGCCTCATTCATCGGTGTATCCTACACAAGTAGTACACAGTAGATGCTAAATACTTACTGAATTACCCACCATACATACACCTAAAAACTCAAGACCAATCAACTTCTAAGAACACATCAGCACCCAATATTGACAGACAGAAGAGATAGAGAACGTCATCCTGGAATAAAGTTCTCTACACGGCGCTGTCCTGGAGCAAAGTTTCCCCATCAATGTGGGCCAACACAGAACCCGCCAGGCCTGGGGTTGAGGAGGGGGGCGTCGGCGGGCCCCCTCCATGCCGTGAGCAGCCCAGTCCTAGACATCCTGTGGTTTTCCCAAGCTTTCTTACTCAGATTTCAACCAATGTCCACGACGGGCGCGATGAAGACTCCAAATTAAAAAGCCGAGGCGCGGGCGGGGAGTCGCGCCGACCTGGGTTCGAATCCCTGCTCGGTCACGTCCTACCTGAGGCCTACTTAGGACTAGTTAGGACGGTTGCCCAGCTTCCCTGTTCGACTTATTCGTCTTTAAAATGTGGGGCTAATACAAGTATTCACGTCACAGTGCTGCTATGAGGTAAAGTTGGATAGAACGATAGGTCTTTCGTTCAACTTGAAAGTGAGGCAAGCAGCGGGCACTCCGTGGGACAAGTTACTTGCACATGAAGAGTCCGAGGTCCCTGGAGAGCGACCAAGGACCTCTGACTCCGGGCCGGCGAACTCTGCTCCTTCCAGGAATCCGGAGTTCCTTCCGGCCCCGCCCCGACCCGCACCTCGGGGGCCGCCCCAGCAGCCCCGAAAGCACGGGAATTTAGGTGCCTCGGCCCCGACCGCTGGGGCCGCCCGGAGCGGCCAAATCTGCGACCACCGGGTTCAAGCCCGCCTCGCCCCCAGCCCAACTCGGGCCCTGCGTCCACGGACCCAGGGGAAGTCGTCCCGGACCCAGGGGAAGTCGTCCCGGACCCAGACGCCCAAGGCCTGGGGAGAGGCAAGTGCCCACCTCACCTGAAGCCAGAGCACACGGTCAGACTCGCCAGGTCGCCGGAGGCGCAGCAACCCCCTTAGAAAAACTTGCCAGACTGGCTACTATAGCCACTTGCCAGCAGCTCAAGCTGCCCGCCCGAAGTGCTGGCTCGGTCTGCTCCTATTGGGCAGCAGTTCCAACCGGTAGCCAATAGCCTCTCTTCTTCTTTCTTTGGTCGCCGGCTGACTGAAACAGCGGCGCTCTCATTGGCTGACCCTTCGTAAACGAGGTAGGCAGGACCTTGCGCAAGGAAGTCTCGTACAATTGGTAGAAATCAACGTCCGTCAACACGCGCCCAGCCCCCAAAGAGAAAAAAACGGAAGAAGGAGTTTTACCGCTCTTTATTTGAACTTTGTGGCGGGAGAAAGTCGTAAGGGAAAGATTTCTTAGTCCATTTTGAAAAGATGAAAATATTCAAACTGTGCCTCATGCTGTTTCTCCTAAAGTCTTTGGAGAAGAAGATGCCTGTCACCAAAGCCAACCTTAGCATTGTAAGTTTTTTTCATCTTCCTGCCTTTAAGGGAGCTTCTACTGAGCAATGGAGAAGGAAATGGCTACCCACTCCAGTATTCTTGCCTGGAGAATCCCATGGACGGAGGAGCCTGGTAGGCTACAGTCCACAGGGTCACAAAGGGTCGGACACGACTGGCGACTTCACTTTCACTACTGAGCAAGGTTAATAAGAGGAGAAAGGAATTTTATTTTGTAAACAAATACAAATGTTATGGAGTAGAAAGAAAAACATTTTGAATGATTCTCACTGTTGTATAAGTAATGGCAGAGGAGGCTCCAGGGAGCGGAACCTCAGACTCTTCATGTGCAGATTAGACAATACATAGAAGCAAAAAAGAAAAACTGTCTCCAGAGAAGTCATTGTTAACTCTGTTTAAAATCTTCATCTATCTTAATATGGATATTTAAATATAGATGGAATTGTTTTAATCCATAATATATCTTGAATTGTTTCCTTGTCAATGAATACGTAGGCACATCATCAAATACGGAATGATCCTTTAAAAAATTTTTACATTAAAAGTTAACAGGTAATACATAGCAAAACATTTTGGAAAACAGAAAGAACAAAATTTGGACAATTATGAACAATTCTGAGAATATATTCATTTATGATCCACCTAATGGTCATGTTTACTAATTAGGAGAATAAGAGAATAAACACACAAGCCAGAAATTTATAGTCTTGTCTCCAACCTCCAAAAGTTTCCTATAATTAGAGGACAAAAGTGTTGGTTGTGTTCCATTTTAGGGGAGAAATTCCTGTTTACAACTTAGTGGGTGATTACTTACAACACCAACCCCCTGTTGCACTATGCACCACTTCACAGAAGAGTTGTTTAGATGTATGTCTTTTTTTCCCCTTCATCAAAAGATATAACTAATGGGTGCCCCGAAACTACATGATGGGAACTACTGTTAGGGATCTGAATGAATAAATAAAATAAAAAATTTGGAAGAATTCTCAAGGTTAAAATATGCCAAAGAAACTTAACACTTGTGGTAAGCCTTCTCCCCAGGCTCTAGGGAAAGCCATTAGTTTTTCTGTAGCATTAGGAGTACCATCATTCATTCATTTTCTAGTCCACTGAGTCAACAAATACTTTATTAAACCACTACTTGAATCCCAGCTCTGGTCTATATGGTATATTATATATACGCTTAGTGGTTCAATTGTATCCAGCTGCGACCCCATGAACTGTAGCCTGCCAGACTTCTCTCTTCATGGAATTCTCCAGACAAGAATACTGGAGTGGGTAGCCCTTCCTTTCTCCAGGGGATCTTCCCCATCCAGGGATCAAACTCAGGTCTCCTGCATTGCAGGCAGATTCATTACCACTGAGCCAGCAGGGAAGTGGGATATGGTATGGAAAACAGAGATGACTCTTGACTCAATGGAACTTACATTCTACTAAGTGGGGGTAGGTCATAGACCAATAAACAAGAATAACGTAGGTAATTTCATATGGTAAATATGAGGAAAGAGGAAAATCCTCTTTTCAATTGAAGGTTCAAGAAAGGACTCTCTGAAGTGCTGATATTAGAGCTGAGATCTGAAGACCTCAGAAAATGTTTGAGAAAGGTTCATAGTCCATAAATGACTATAATAAAAACAGAGTAAAGTAAGTGCTGTGATGGCCACGTGTGACTGGATAAGACTTCAGTACACCTGGGTCCTGCCTCTCCTTCCTGATCATTGCCACTATTTTACATGAGGTGCTGCCCATTTTTGGACCTCATTTTTCGCATGGTAAAATGAGGTAGCTGGACTAAAATGAAAAGTTGTCCCTGTTTTAAGTGCAGCAAATCTAGAAAACAACAAAATGTTGCAGAAGTTCAAAGCAGGTTGAGGGAAAGAAAATCTCCTCTACCAGATATTAACAACCAGAACAATGGTGGTCTGAAATTTCTCTGAATCGGCCTTTTGGAATGCTATGGGAATTGAAGTGTGCACAGGTTGATATTAATATGTACCAGGAATTTATTCTCCATGTCACCACTATTCTACTAATATAGCATGAGGTCCCAGGAAGTAGCCTTGAGTGGATGCAGGCTTCATGGGGCTTGATGCTTAATGTGGAGGAACCTCTTAAAAACTAAAAAATTAAGGACTTCCCTGGTGGTCCAGCGGCTAAAAATCTGCCTGCCAATGTAGGGTGCATGGGATGCATGGGTGCATCTTCCTTTGGCCAGGAAGATTCCATATACTTTGGAGCAACTAAACCTGTATACTACAAGTGAGCCCAAGCTCTAGAGCCCGCAAGCCACAACTGAGCACGTGTGCCTAGAACCCATGCTCCGCAGCGAGAAGCCACCACAATGAGAAGCCTACACAGAGCAACGAAGACCCAGCACAGTCAAAAATAAACAAATATTTTTTTAAAGGACTACACAATTTAAAATATAAAATTACTTCCAAGAAAGGCCAACCATCTCCCGTTAGGCAAATCCTTTAACAGAAAATAAATAAAAGCTCTGGATAAAATATTAAAAAAAAATAATAAAGCTACCTGGAGGCACTGGAAAGCAGCTAAAGGCAGGTAGAAACTAGAAGAGCAGGGTCTATAATTGGAAAAAAAAGACAGCAGTAGGGGAATCTCCTGCTTTTTCATGGCTTTTATCCCGAGGGTAAGACCCCGTCAGCCCATTTGCAGTGGCTAAAACTTGGAGAGAAGCTCTCAGTCTAATTTGGTTGACAAATCAGAGGACAAAGTTTGGAGCCACCACAGTAGTTAGAAAGTGAGAGGGAAAATTCAGGAAGGGAGAAAGCCAGAGAAGAAAAGCCTCAATTCTGTATATAATATCTGCCCAAATCTCTATCTTACCTCTGAGTTAGGCATGTGTGGAGCAGATTTCAAGCAGCCAGCTAAGCCTAAAAGACGGCACAGCGATTTCATAGGTATGCAAGTAAAGGGGAGACACAGTTTGGAATTTAAGTCCAGCCAAATTAATTGTCTGTTAAAAAATATTCTTTGAAAAACTATGACACAGTCCATACTCCCTGTAACTATCAGGAAAGGTATCCAAGAAAAATTCCAAATTACTGGAGGTATGAAGATACTTGAAACATAATCCATAATCAAGAGAAAAGTCCATCAGTGGATACTAACCCCCAAATGACCTAAATGTTGGCTTTAACAGACAAGGGTTTTGAAGCAGCTATTGTAACCGTTGTCAAGGATGTAAAAGAACACATGTTTATAATGAAGGAACATGCAAGAAACCTCAGCAGAGAAATAGAAATAACAAAAATAGGACCAAATGGGAATCCCAGAACTTAAAAATACAGTATCTCAATTTAAAAACTGACTGGATGAGCTTAATGGAAAGTTGGAGACAAAGAAGAAAGAGTCGATTAACCTGAAGCTACAGTAACAGAAGTTATTCAGTCTGAAGAACAGAGACAAAAAAGTAAAAGAACAGACCTTCAGAGATCTGTGTGACAATATCTAGAAGTTTAATATGTATGTAACTGGAATCAAAGAAGAGAGAATAGGGAAGAAAAAATATTTGAAGACATGAATATCCACATCTTGCCCTCAATATAAAATTAGCTCAAAATAAGTCATAAACTTAAGTATAAATTCTAAAACTATAAAATGTACAGAAGAAAGCAAGAGAAAATCTTCATGACCTTGGGTTAGGAAAAGATTTATTAGATAACTCCTAAAGCATGATTCAGGAAAATAAAAACTGACAAGTTGGACTTCAAAATTAAAGACGTAAATGGAAAAAAAGAAAAAAAAATTAAAAACATATGTTCTTCAAAGGATGTTGTTAAGGTGAACTGAATCCTGGTAGAAAATACTTGCGGGACTTCCCTGGTGGCCAGTGGTTAACACTCTGTTCTTCCACTGCAGGAGGCACAGTTTTGACCCTAAGATCCTGCATGCCTTGTGGCATGATCCACTCCCTGCCCCCCCCAAAAATGAAAGCTGATAAAAGGCTTGTATCCAGAATACTATATATAGAGAACTCTCAAAACATGATAATTGGTAAAACGAAACAACCTATGAGCAAAAGCTTTGAACAGACCAAAAAAAGAACCAAAGAACATATAGATGGCAACATAAATGAAAGAATGATTAATAAATGAAAGGATGATCAACATCATTTGTCATTCAGTTCAGTTCAGTTCAGTTGCTCAGTCGTGTCCAACTCTTTGCGACCCCATGAATCACAGCACACCAGGCCTCCCTGTCCATCACCAACTCCCTGGAGCTTACTCAAACTCATGTCCATCGAGTCGGTGATGTCATCCAGCCATCTCATCCTCTGTTGTCCCCTTCTCTTCCTGCCCTCAATCCCTCCCAACATCAGGGTCTTTTCCAATGAGTCAACTCTTCACATGATATGGCCAAAGTACTGGAGTTTCAGCTTCAGCATCAGTCCTTCCAATGAACACCCAGGACTGATATCCTTTAGGATCGACTGGTTGGATCTCCTTGCAGTCCAAGGGCCTGTCAAGAGTCTTCTCCAACACCACAGTTCAAAAGCATCAATTTTTCCGTGCTCAGCTTTCTTCACAGTCCAACTCTCACATCCATACATGACCAGTGGAAAAACCATAGTCTTGACCAGACGCTTCAGTGCCATTCAAGTGCACCCAAAGGATGTTAGCCTTCTCAACAAACAATCTCACAACTTCAAGATCAGAGTAGAACAAAGGAAATCTAAAAACTTGGAGACCCAAGAGTGCAAGGAGAATTCTTCNTGTGAGATGAGTGCAATTGTGTGGTAGTTTGAGCATTCTTTGGGATTGCCTTTCTTTGGGATTAATCATTAGGGAAATGCAAACTAAAGGCTCAATGACATAGCACTCATGATATACCTATTAGGATCACCAAAATTAAAATGCTGACTGTACCAAATGTTGACAAGGATATAGAGGAGCTCTATATGCCACTCGTGGAGTGGAAAATAGCTCTACCATTCTGGAAAACAGTTGGACAGTTTCTTAAAAAGTTAAATGTACACCTACCACATGATCTAGCTGTTCGGTTTTAGATATTTATCCAAGAGAAATAAAAGTATATACCACCTGAAACTATCACAACATTGTTAGTCATCTATGCTCCAATATAAAATAAAAAGTTTTTAAAAAATTTTAAATAACATATATTCAAACAGACTTGTACGTTAAAATCCATAGCATCTTTATCTGTAATAGCCAAAAATTATAAACAACTCAAATGTTCATCAGCAGATCAAAGGATAAATAAATGGTTACACTCATACATTGCCATAGTTTTCAACTGTTTTTCAGCTAGAAAAAGGGAATAAATTAAGGATACATGTGATTACATGGATGAATCTCAAAATAGTTATACTGAAAGAAGGCAAACTTATCATATATCATATGATTACATTTATATAAAAATTTAAAAAATGAACTAATCAGTAGTGATAGAAAGCAGGTGAGTGGTTGCCTAGGGAATTGGGGGTGGTGGAGTGGTGGGAGGGAGGGATTATAAAGGAGCATGAAGCAGCTTTGGGAACTGATGCACATGTTCATTATCTTGATTGTGGTGGTGCATATATATGTCAAAACATCAAATCACACATTAACACGTGTAGTCCACTGTGGGACAATTACACCTCAAAAATGCCATTTAAATCAGAATTGCGGGGCATCAGTGAAGAGGGGGTTTGACTGTATGCACACAATAGGACTTTTGGGCATGATGGTAATGTTTGTCATCTTGATGGGGTCTGGATCAGTCATGTGTATGAATTTATTAAACTCATCAAATGGTATAGTTAGGATTTGTGTATTTCACAACATGGAAACATTACCTTCCCCCATCAAACAAAGAATACCACCCTGTAAACAAATATTGAACTGCAGTTAATAATATAAATGCTGAAATGTTTAGTGATGAATTATGTTGATGTTTGAAATTTTCTTCTAAATGCATAAAAATTAAGGATGGATCAACGGTAGGAAGAAGAATGGCTGAATTGATAAGTATGTGATAAAATATGGTGAATTGTTAGGTGTAGAATCTAGGTGGTGACTATTCAGATGTTCAGAGCATAACTCTACTGACATTCCTGAGTATTTGAAAATTTTTATATTTATAAATGTTGAGGAAAAAAATAGGTATAGGGCTTTGGAAGATGTCTTGTGAGAGTCAAGGGTCCCTGAAGATTAAACTTTATTACTAATACTTTCACAGTGAATCCGCCTCTGCGTGTGGGTCTACCAGAACATGTATAACCTATAACGGAGAATTTATGCCATAGCCCCTATAGCTACAGAGAACATAAGATTTCAAAGATGAAAATAGTAGTACCCTATGATTAGCTCAAGAAAAGCCTCATTTTCAGTGTTCATTCTGTCCTTGTTGATTCTTCTCTCTTTTTTAACTTAAAAATGTTCTAGGTTTAAAAACATCAAGAATAAATAAAAGATAAAAAGGAATAGAAATGAACCACAATTTTATTCCCCAGAGATGATTACCAGATTATAAGCTCCAATTTATTTTGCCTTTTTTTTTTAATTTTAATTTTATGGAACTATAGTTGTGTTAGTTTCAGGCGTACAGCAGAGTGATTCACTTACACATATAAATATATTCCTCCTTTTTGAGATTCTTTTCTCATAAAGGCTACCACAGAATATTGAATAGAGTTCCCTGTGCTATTGAGTAGGTCCTTGTTGGTTATCTGTCTTCTATATAGAAGTGTATGTTCATCCCAAGCTCCCAGCTGACCCCGCTCCCTGCCCCGTCTATTGCTGTCTCCTCAGTGATCGGAACAATGCCCAGCACATTCGCTGTTGAATGGTTTGGGAGGAGTTCAGGCGGAAAGAAAAGCAGGGCCAAGTAGAGGTCCCCTTACCAAGAGCAAAGGTGTAAAAAAATTCAGAACAAACAGGTCACATCCAGGAGACACGGGTTTCTGAGAACTCTTAGGCTGATATATTTCGTTTGGCCTGTACAGCATAAAAATAATTTTTAATGAAGTGCCAATCTTTAAAAAGATGGACAATTTACCAAAAATGTGACAAAGTGGATGGCTCTGGAAACACTGGGGTCCCGTTCCTGTCTGATAAAAATAGGCTGGAGCTGAGCAGAGGCTGGCCTTTCCGCACAAAGCTCAGCGGTTCCCTGAAGTCTCTCCTTCAGGCTCAACTCACTTTTTAGGCTCCCACTAGACCTCATAGGTGTTAGAGTTTGCAGTCTCTGGTGGGAGCACTCTGCGACCGGATACTGGAGATCAGGTTGGCGTCAGAGATAAAAGGCCTTGGGGATCCAAAGCGGGATTCTGGACTTAGTTCAGTGGGAAAGAGGAAGGATCGGCATTTGCCCAGGTGTTTACTGCTATGTCACAGTTCACCCCAGAACTTAGTGGCTTAAGACCAGAGTCATTTATCTAGCTCACGTTTTTGTAAATGGGCTGTCTGGGCTGCTTCTTCTGTGTGGTTCTTCTGGTCTCAACTGGATTCACCCCTGTGACAGCTGCTGGCCTGGCTGGTCTAGTATGACCTCGGCTGGGCCAGGCTGTCTTGGCTGCGCGTGGTCTGTCCTTCTCCAGCATGCTTGCCCAGCTTGCTCCCGGCGGGGGAGGGCTCCAAGAGACGGGGTGGAAGTTTGTAAGGCCTCCTGAAGCCTGGCCTTGGAACCAAAACACCATCACTTCGACATTCTATTGGTCAAAGCCAGTTACAACACCAGCCTAGGTTCAAGTGGTGGGGATGTAGATTCTACTTTAAAAAAAAAAATCTTGTTTATCTTTTTATTTTTAGCTGTGATGGGTCCTCACTGCTGCGCAGGCCTTTTCTCTAGTTGCAACGACTGGGGGCTTCTCTCCGTTGCAGTGAGCGGGTTTCTCCTTGCAGTGGCTTCTCTTGTTGCAAAGCACGGCCTCGAGGGTGCGCGGGCTTTAGCAGTTGGGCTCAGTAGTTGTGGCTTCCAGGCTCTAGAGCACAGGCTCAATAGTTGTGGCGCACAGGCTTAGATGCTCTGTGGCATGTGGGATCTTCCCAGACTAGGGATCAAACCCATGTCTCCTGCATTGGCAGGTGGATTCTTTAGCACTGAGCCACCAGGGAAGCCCTAGATTCGACTTCTTGATGGGAGGGGCCATCAATGCCAAGACATTTGGATCCAGAGAGAGAGAGACACATTTTTTTTAAAACAATCAGAGTTATTATCAAAGGTGTATTTTTGACAGCATCATTGGGAGTGGGATGGATTACTGGAGCTGTTTTCCATTTGTTACAGAGAAGTGCTGCCTCCCTGTATCCATAAATAAATCCATGCTGAAGGGTTTGAGAGAAAAAGATGCCCAACTCCTGTTCTTCCAGCTCCTTGTTCAGGGACACAGTTTCAGTTTCAATACTTGGTTTAACAAAAGGGAGACAGTCTCTTTAAGATTTCTGTGAATGAATGAACAGAAAGTTAGACAAGCTCAGGAACTGACAGTCATGTTAGAAACAAAGACATTTCCATACTACAAGACAGTGTAGAAACTGCACTCCCCTTGGTCTGGCTGGAGTCTAAAACACCATCAGCATTTATGCCTTTGGAATGTGATGTTCTCTCTCACTTGGACAATTTTTGTTAGTTTATTTTTATTTTATTTTTGTAATTTTACTTGGACAACTTTTAAAATACAACTAGCTTGTGGGAGACGTAAGCTCACATCTTAGTGTGAATTAGTCTCAGGTATTAGATTCTCTAATACCAGGAGGACCTGGGTTTAAGGGAGCCTGGAAAGAGGAGGAAGAAAACAAAGGAGAATTTGGAGGAGAGGAAGGTACTGTAGAAAATACTGTCAGCTTCTCATCCACCCTGAAGGATTTTTCTTTAGGAAGCACCATTGAGTCTGCTCTTCTGTGCTGTGAGGGCAAAGAGAAAGTTTCACGTAGAAGCTAGGCCAAGGTTTTGATTTTGTTAGGGAAATTAAAATGGAAGTAGTCTTGTTCAGGCTTCAGAAGCAGGAAAGCAGGCTACAGACTGACTTCTGACCCTGCCTGGACTACGTGCCTGCTTGCAAACACACCAATTGTTACCAGGAAGCCAAGCGGCACTTTAGATCAGAGAGGGAATGGGTCTTGGATTTCCTTGAGCCCTTGGAGGCCTGGCCTGCTCCCTGGGGTTCCAGAAAATCTTGTGACTCACGAGGTGAAACAAACAACATTATAAAAGTTAAGGAAAAACCATCACTGCATTTTTGCATGCAGACTGATGCTCGTATCAGTTGGCAGCCTGGGATTATAAGCAGGAGCTCCTCAAACTGCAATTTGAAGTCTCACCCGTGGGTTAGATGCACTGTTGGGGACCTCTTCCCAACTGGGACTCCAGACTGCTGTTAACGAGGGGCTTCCCAGCACTTTTGAAGTCTGGAGGTTGTTTGGGTCAATTTGGTGATGTGTGTGCTGTTACATTTCTCTGTTGTTTTTCTCTTATTTTAATGACTATATATTGAAATGAAGTCAATCAATCCTCTATTAGAAAGGCCAACCTGCACTTTAATAAATCAGGGGTGGCGGGACAGAGAGGGACCTCTTGATCTCTCTCAGGGCCAAGAAGGAGCCTGAGCAGTCAGGCTGGCTCCCCGCACTCTATTAAATATTGAAATTGTTTATTGTGTGTGTAACAAATAGTTTCTTTTGTTAATGAATCTTTTGAACTTAAAAGTAAAACTCTCAGCAAAACAGATTTTCATTCCAAAAGGTAGGGATGGGGGCAAAGGAAGGGGAGGGATGAGATTACCCTCTCTAACATGACTGTTAGCGTGATTCCCAATGGACCACCAATGAAAAGGCCTTGAAGGACGTCTTTGTGCCAGAGACTTCTGTAAATAGTGGCGCTGTCCTTAGCGGGGACTGCCCCCAAAGCCTGGACGCCTATCTTTTTAGTTCTCTCTCTCAAGGCATTTAATCTTTATTTATTAATACACTTCACCCCCAGGTCTCTAACTCAGGATATTCTCACCTGTGTGTCTCAGGATACATGCACAAGAATGTTTAAGGGTGAGCTTCTTAAAAGGACGATTAAAATATCCATAGATAGAGGAAGGGGTAAGTAAGGTGCATGGTTATCTAAGTGGCCTACTATACAGCAGTGAAAAAGAATGAGTTGAAACCATCACATTGGCATGGATGAATTTCAAATCATTTCTTCACACTAACTGATCAACTGAAGAAAGTTGTGGTAGAATATAGCATGATACCACTTACAAAAAGTCCTTATACATTTGTGCTAAGTCACTTTAGTCATGTCTGACTCTGTAGCCCACCAGGCTCCTCTGTCCATGGTTTTCCAGGCAAGCATACAGGAGTGGGTTGTCACTTCCTCCTCCAGGGGATCTTCCCAACCCAGGGATCAAACCTGCATCTCCTGGGGCTCCCGCATTGCAGGCAGATTTTTTTACCGCTGAGCCACAGGAAAGCCCATAATTTAGTGTACCTTGGTTATAAAACGATAGACAAACTTTTACCAGGAAGTCAGGATAGTGGCTCCTCCTGGAGGAGGGGAGAGGAATGTGAAAGCAAGGGACAAGGAGGTGGTTTCTGAGTTAGTGGTAACGTTCAAGTCTTTAACCAGGAGGGGATTTGTGATACTCTTTTTCTTCGACTTAAAAAAAATGCACATATATATTTAATCATTGCTGTACTATGATACATATCACAATAAAGATAAGAAAAACATGATTTTGTATCTTTGAAAGCTGTAGCAACTTCAGTGGAAACACTTCCCCAGTACCTAGATATATTGCATGTGAATCAAGTTCTCTTGTATCTGGAGCTTCTTTGGAAAGCCTGAGAGATCTGGATCTAGAGTAGGGGAGGGGGACATTCCCATCGAGGGAGATGGTGTAAGAAAACTACGGAGGAGCAGCTGATAACATGGTGAAATAAAAGTCTGAGTAAAGGAATTTACCCCAGGGTGTTGATAAAAGAAAAGAAAAGGAAGAAAGGGAGAGAAAGAGTATCAGTTCAGTCACTCAGTCGTGTCCGACTCTTTGCGACCCCATGGACTGCAGCACACCAGGCTTCCCTGTCCATCACCAACTCCGCGGAGCTTATTCAAACTCATGTCCATAGAGTTGGTGATGTCATCCAACCATCTCATCCCCTGTCGTCCCCTTCTCCTGCTTTCAATCTTTCTCAGCATCAGGATCTTTTCCGATGAGTCAGTTCTTTGCATCAGGTGGCCAAAGAATTGGAGCTTCAGCATCAGTCCTTCCAATGAATATTCAGGGATGATTTCCTTTAGGATGAACTGGTTGGATCTCCTTGCTGTTCAAGGGACTCTCAAGAGTCTTCTCCAACACCACAGTTCAAAAGCATCAATTCTTTGGCACTCAGCTTCCTTTCTGGTCCAACTCTCACATCTGTACCTGATTACTGGAAAAACCACAGCTTTAACTAGATGGACCTTTGTCAGCAAAGTAATGTCTTTGCTTTTTAATATGCAGTCTGGGTTTGTCATACTTTTTCTTCCAAGGAGCAAGATTGTCTTTTAATATCATGGCTGCAGTCACCATCTGCAGTGATTTTGGAGCCCAAAAGAATAAACTCAGCCACTGTTTCCCCATCTATTTGCCATGAGGTGATGGAACCAGATGCCATATCCTAGTTTTCTGAATGCTGAGTTTTAAGCCAACTTTTTCACTCTCCTCTTTCCCTTTCATTAAGAGCCTCTTTAGTTCTTCTTCACTTTCTGCCATAAGGGTTGTGTCATCTGCATATCTGAGGTTATTGATATTTCTCCTGGCAATCTTGATTCCAGTTTGTGCTTCGTCCAGTCTGGCATTTCACATGATGTATTCTGCATATAAGTTAAATAAGAAGGGTGACAATATACAGCCTTGACATACTCCTTT